TCGCTTGTATTTTTTTTTAAGCTATGGAATATTTCTTTCTCATAGTAATACGATAAAATACAAACTGTATGTCGTGTATAAAATGAATGCAGATGGGTGTATAAGTATTTTATTTTATTTTTAACGTAACAAATCAGTATAATAAAACATAACAAAAAATATATTTTCATTCTACAGCACCTCCGTGACTCGTACTTGCCCGATTTTTTATCATAGCTTCATATTTTTTTTATTTCAACTAGCTGTTATTTTAGCATTATAAATGATGTAGAATTATATTCTGGAGAATCCGACTCCCTAGTTTCCGGATAACATGATACTTGATAATTTGTCAAAATGGCATACTTAGACTGTCTTGCGAAGTTGTAACTAAGAATGATTTTGACAAACTTCGTGATCGATAATATGATAGAAATTTTTCTTTAACAGAAACTAAAATTTATATTATATGAATACTAATTTTTGTCCACGGCCCTGATCGCCTACACTTAATAGATAATTTCATAAAAAGTAGCTAGTATGTTTAAAGATTTAAGCTATCTCCATTCTGAAGTGAACCCAAATCTGTCGATGCTAATCGAACAATTGAAGAAATAACAAACTCTCAAAAATTTGCATTTATGATACATAGTAGTGTGTTTTTCTGCATATATTTTTTAGCTTCTTGAAATGTATAGTGTTGTTAGCCCTATTGTGCTTGATACCGTCATCGGGCAGGAAGTAGGATAGTTAGTTTATAAAAGTTAAGCATGAAGCTGAAAGTGAGTAGCTTAATAAAGGGCACCTCTTGTGAGGTTCGGACCACGGCTTACGGAACTATCGGAGGGAGGGCTTGCCATATGGGAAACGTCTCTATGTTACAGAGAACAATGGTTTATGTATTGTACCTATATTATATTAGATAAATAATACTGAAACTAAATACTCCTCGATTAATAAATATTTATGGAAAATAACTCGCATTTAGATAATTCAGACAATTGTCACGGTTATTTGCTTTTTGTTTTTGGTGTGTTACAATAAAACGGAAACCACTTCGTATACTAGGATTAAAAAAGGTATGGTACTCTCCGGCCACCATATTATGTAAAAATTAATGTCAATCCGTTACGGTCCTTCCGGACAAAGTCTCTAACACATAAATTTTAGTCTCGAGAGGATACCCTCAAAATGTCCTGGACAAAATGACATCTTTTTTGCCTAAGTTTAAGGTTTCGATGTTCATAATTTGAAATAAAAATATTTAGAGTGCCTTTATTTTGATACCAATTTTATGGACGACGATACAATAAACGATAATACATAAAACCAACTTCTTGAATCGATAACATACAGAGCATGTTATTAATACAATCGGCTTGCAAATACGCATTTCCATATGAGACTACCAAGGCCAAATCCATATGCATTAATAGAAAGTACCTGTGTAGATGATTGATTAGTGACGATGGATGACAGTCACGGGAATTACCTTTTGCAGAAAATATATTCCATGAAATGATAATGTTTTCATGAAACCCAAGTTTATATTAGCCCTATCAAGGACAAACCAAGTATAGATTTGCTTTTGATAAGAGCTACTTCAAAGGTAAGAAACTTTTATAACTTCTAATACAATGCTACTTGCAAAATATTGATTATTTCAAAGCTGATTATATATTAAAACCTGCGGGCAGAAATTACCAATTATTATAAATAAATAAAATAAAAACTTTATGAGCATAAATTGATGATGACTGATAATAAATTAAAATATATATATATTTTGGAGCTGTTGTTATATATTAAGTACAGATTATAAAATATTTTTAGCTATTGTAAAGCTAAAGCGTAACCTTCAGCAACCCCTAACCACAGACACAAATAGAATCAGTTAATTTCACGTATTCGATCAGATACTCAATGCTCTGTCAGTTTCAAGGTGCTTAAATTAGAAACGTTTGGAATAGCATTCACACGTAGAGGTGGCAAATTCCAATTAGGCCGTCGAATCGGTACCAGGCACTAAAATGGGGTGGTAACTCGCCGATTTGGCACGGCTTTAAATCGAGTTTTCAAGATGTTTTAATAAGTTTCGCCGTCAAGCGTTCAACATTGAAATTAATGGCATAATGTATTACGGTCTTCGACAATTATAATTCTGCTTTAAGTGGTTTATGTTTAGAACTTTTTTGGCAATGGGTGCTTGTTATTTTGGCTAACTTTAAAAAGGAGGAAACACTCAATTTGCATTTTTTTTGTGGGTTTGTTACACGATGTTTTTACAGTTGGTAAATGATTTGTATAACTGAAAGTTCTCATACAAATTTCAAAAAACTTCTATGGAATGATTACTTTAAATTAATGTTGTAATTCTTTATAGCAATGGTACCTGGGTGATGGAGCGAACGAGGTTCGCATGGCGTAGGCGCTCATTCAGTAGGTTACCATCAATGCAAGTACCATATCAATTTACAAAATGGCGCTATATGTTTCCCGTGGGAATTAGATAATCTCCAGCGGAAGAAAGTAGCCTATGTCACTCTCCAGCCCTTCAATTATCTTAATATAAAAAAATCACGCCAATCCGTCACTCTGTTTCGACATGAAAGAAGGACAAACAAACCAACAAACAAACACACTTTCACATTTATAATATTATATAAATATGGATAAATTATATAGATAAAAAAAATATTCGAATCCTTGGAAGAATTATTGTCTAAGCTCAAATTGAGTTGCAATAGGATGTAATTCACAACTTCATGGCTGTGATTTTCGCGCAAAGTGCATGCTACAGTGAAACACGAAACATAAATTATAAGTAAACATGTTATTCTATGATTTAAAATAAAAATCTAGGTAGAATTTTGTGGAAATTGATCACGTAAAACTTCTACCATTTATTATTCTATTTTTTTAACTTTGGTTCACCATTTTCTTCTTGATTTTACTTTAAAAAAAAGTTTAAACTATGAATTAACTCCATAAATATAAAATTTAATACAAAATTAGAATTATAGCGAGCTCTTTTTCTCAGACTCTCTCTACAGAAGATTGATGTAAATATAACATACTTTGTTTTCTTTAGTAATTGGTTACATGACACGTGGTTCTTTACACATGCAAACAGATTGACAATAGATAACAGTAAAAACTAAAGTTTGAAAAACTATTGGTTGCGTTTTTGATAAAGCCATTGATTTTGTACCTGTACCTGTTATACATACATAAGGATACCGAAATATATAAGTGTTCTAAATTTTAATTTCTTTCAGTGTTGTTTCTGCGTAAATCTTCTATAAGATTTTTCTTTTTTAAATCCATATTTAATATTATAAATGTGAAAGTCTGTGATGATGGATGGATGGATGGATGTTTGTTACTCAATCACGCCAGAACGGCTGAACGGATCTGGATGTTTGGTACAGCGATAGATTATAGTCTGGAATAGCACATAGGTTACTTATCCCGGAAAAATTTACGGTTTCCGTGGGATAGATTTGTTTTTGTTTAGGGACCAACCCGAAGCGAAGCGAGTGTGAGTCGCTAGTATATTATATATTACATAGAGTAGGTAGTGAAAGCTGTGGTAGCCCAACGGGAACGTACTTGCTTTGGAAACCAAAGTAAAGTAGATTCAAATCCCGGGTCTCGCACCTCTGATATTCTCATGTGCGATCATTTTCCACATGATTACCACTTGATTCATGGTGAAGGAAAACATCGTGAGGAAAGCTGCATGTCTAAGAAAACCTTACAAGTTTTCGAAAGTGATGTGCAGTCCATCAACCCACACTTGGCCAGCGTGGTGGACTGTGGCCTGACCCCCTCGTATTTAAGGGAGGTCCGTGCCCAGCAGTGGGACGTTGAAATTGGCTGAATACATTATTCATATATACTCGTACATAAATAATAAATAGTAATAAAATCAATGCTATCGACAATGGACCATAGTTTTACGGATCGCTGATTATGTACATAGAAGTTGATCGATCGATACACCGGATATGAGCACATTGTAATCAACTAATGGCAAATAGCTCCTAACATCGACATATCTATAACACTATAATAAATTAAGTTTACTGCTTGTTAATATATTAGAAAAACGTCTTTTCCGTTTAAATTAATAAATAGATGCCTTATAATAAAATTAATCTTTTGCTTCCATTTTGAGGTTGTACATATGTTAATTGTATCATATTGTTATACAAAATATTCAAAACTAGCGACTTACCCTCGCTTGGCTCGGGTGCACCCCTATTTATTTTTGAGCGGAAGCCTAATTCTTTTTCTAAAATAAAAGTAATCTAAGTTACTCCTTATCAAAACAAAATCAGTCCAGCTGTTGCGGAGATTAGTCGGAACAACAGACAGACAGACGGACAAAAATTTTAATTTTTTTTTATAATTTCATATTCATTTAGTAAAAAGCTTTTATTTTATAATTACAAACAGAAATTTCAATTTTATTTATCTATATAGATTTATAATATTCATGTGGACAGATACACATTCACATTTATATTAGTAAAAATGTCTGTAGATATGAATTCTACAGGTAGGTAGGTAGGTACCTACTCTACATGTGGATGACATGGTAATGGCTATTAAAAATGACCGATTGCTTATGTATGTATTAAGTTATCAAATTTACTTTCGTGAAGTAAAAAAAGTCTATTGCTACGAGTATCATAGTCCAGACCTAGGGGCTTGCGGCATACGCGGTTGATTTCGAAACTCCCCATTAAGATGGGGGAGGTTTTAATGGGTAGTACTGGCGTGGTAGTTTTGGCGGATTCCTTGATCTCTCCTTACTTCGAGATGTGAGTCCCACAACCACTGTGTCACTTGAGACAACGAGGTGGTGGTATGCGTAAATGCATTTCCTAACGTTAAAAAGGGTCTCGCACTTTTCATATCAAATGTTATGGTGAACGGTCTTAACCATAAAGCGCTGTAGTACCATCTCATGTCAAGTTATAATAGCTGCTACAGTAGTCACAAATATGTTACAGGTGGTAGATCCGATCAACCGTCTGCTGGAGTCCGTGCCGTTCGACTGCGTGTTCTACTCGCTGGACTGGCACCCGCCCGACCACGTGTCCTTCGTGGACAACGTGCACATGAGGGAGCTGCATCCGTCCAGCCCGGTGAGTGATTAACTTTACAAGCGACTTAGCCCCACTTTGCTCGAAAGCGTCTCTAGATTCCCTTCTAATTATAATAAGGACGATGATTTCAATAAATAAATTACAACTGAATTCCCTCTTCAATTTTTGAAGTCAGTCAAAAAAATTTTGAAATTATACGCTCATCTCACAAAAAATTTCCCCTTACTTACTTTATGTATATTTATACACTTTTTTTTAACGTTGGGAAATGCATTTACGCATATCACCTGCAAACATACAGGTAGTTATGTAGGACTCACCGGCTAGAAAAGCTAGGGCTACATACTAAAACCCATCAGAAACTCCCTTGTCTTAATGCGGCATCGCAGGATCATCGCAAGGTAGGGTAGTAAAAGCTGCCCTTGTAGTTGAAGAAATTTTCAAAAATAAAAAATAATAATAAATGAACTATTTTTTTTTTTTATTTAAATCAGGTATCAGCAGACAAAGCGCAAGCGTACGACACAGTGATATTCGCGGGGCCCCCGCCCATGAAGCAGCGGCTGTGGCCGCGGCACTGCGTGCAGGACACCTGGGGGGCGGAGCTTCATAAAGATCTGAAGGTATGTACAATCTTCATGTAACACTCTTTAGTCATTAAAAAATAAATGTGTGTGAGTGTGTGTACTTATGTACGTACGCACGTAAGAAGTTATAATTCTTTGCCGTAACAGAACAAAAATAGCTAAAGGTTTCATCCCGTATGTCATAACTCTCTGTTTGTAAAAGGAATGCAGCTAACTTTATCATGTCGCTTTTTGGCTGTCGGTGTGCGCGCGTATGGTAAAAATTTTACTCTCATAATTTTTTCCAAACGTGCCAAAAGTAGTTTAACTTCAACTAGGTTTCACTGTTTTTTACAGGTTTAGAATTTTGACTGTGGCAGTACATTTAATTTGTATTTGAAAAAGCTTGCACGCTAGTTTATCGGTGTCAAACGCGATAGACTTATGTATACATAGACTTATACATAGATATTGGAATTATTTTGATACGAATTTTATTTTCCATCAAAACAGCCTTATAATTTCTATGGTAAAGCCAAATATTGAAATTATAATAATAACGGTAAGCGATATAAATTGTATCGTACCTATGTTACAAATAATATTCCCAATAAAAATTACGTGTTTTTACTTTTCTCAACTTTTTATGTTCTCTCCATATTCGTGCTTTTGAGACGAGAACTGTCAGCACTTTTAGTTTGTTTGATAAGATTGTTCGACACTTGTTGATATGACATTTCAGGTTTATTTATAGAATTTTGGATCCATTCCGCATATTTTAAAGGGGCATTGATATATTTTCACCAGGTAGATATAGGCGGTAAAAGTATTCAAAGGAATCGGCCTAAAAGTTGCCCTTTATTTTGATTTCTGGGACATAAATTCGTTAGATTTCTTAAAATAACCGCGGAGATTGCATTTATAATTCATGCATAGTTTTCAGTTGTTTTGTTTGAGATTTTTCCCTTTTTTATACTTAAATCACCCCTGACACACCCCTAACAAAACAAAAAAAAGTATTATTCAATTCGCTTGTTTGATTTTAGGACTTTATATGTAATTATTTCTTGAAAAGCAAATAAATAAATAAATATTTACGCCAGATAGTAGAGAACGCGGTGAAAGTGTACAAAGGTACCAACCCCGAGGTGGACTCGTATTCAGTGTTTTGGGACAACAAGAAGCTGACCGACACCAGTCTGTGCACTCAACTGCGGTGTCGCGGCGCCACCGATATATACATATGTGGGCTGGCGTACGACGTGTGTGTCGGTGAGTCTGTTTGTCACTTTAAAGTTTACTATTGTTGTATATATGTAGTAATAATAATAATAATGTCTTCCCGACTGATTCCCGCCACGGTGGCCAATCTCATTGAGACTAGCTATATCTACGCAGGAGATATTATAGTGCAGCGCGTGTACGCGCAAACACAACGTGCACTCTCTCTCTCTCTATTCCTGTCACTCTCATACTCCGGTGGGACGACACGAGACACGACCAGTGAGAGTTAAGGCGCAATAAAGAATATATACTACATATACAAGAGTATGTGTAGTATATATTCTTTATTGCACTTATGAAATAATATACATTCATTTTCATCATTGAATATTAAAGGACATAGGCAACATTGTATATATGTGTGATCCTATGTTCCATCGTAGTTTGTAAACGGCTTAACCGATTTTGATAATTCGCAAGTCGTTTTGATGATTTGTCTTGATAACACGAATGTCAGAGTATATAGATAGTCACTATGAAAATGTTATATTTCATCAAAACGTCGTCAATTTGTTTCAAATTTACTTCTTTTTAGTTGGCTTTTTATATACTTAGTCGGTTTTTTTATACATTTGTAATTAAATAAAAAAAAAACAACTTTAACAATAATTTAAAGTTTTTATTATTCCACTCTTATGAGAGGACTTTTATTCTTGAATTGTATGAGGGAGCACTCGTTATAAAAAAACATAAATAACGACTACAACAATTGGTGAAAGAGTAAAAACGTACACACGAGTAGAGTACCTCCCTACCTCCTCTTATTGAAGTCGCTCAACACTAAAATTAATATGTTTTTCATAGTTTGAATTCAAAACTACAATAAACATTATTATTATGATATTAAACTGGACATTTACCGTGTTTAGCACTTACTTTTGAGGGTTCAGTCACTTTCATATATTTACGCGAATATTTGACACTTTAAATAAAACTATTTTTTTCGGATTTTTTCGCGGATTTATTTTGATTTTTGGTTTCCGACGTTTCGAACGCTTTTGTCTCTCCCGTGACCATTATTGCTGTGAGGCATTCGAAATGTCGGGAACCATTAATCAAAATAAATCCGGTAACTTACTCTTTATATGTATGTATTTGATAGTTTTAATGTCCAAACCCAGGCGCGACCATCGCGGACGCGCTGGCCATCGGCTACCGCGCGGTGCTCATCGACGACGCGAGCCGCGGCGTGGACCTCGCCGACATCGACGCCACCAAGCACACCATCGTCGCCAACAACGGCGTCATTGTGGACTCGCACCAGGTCATGTTGCTTCTATTTGTTGTGTGTTTTTGTGTGTGCGTGTGTTAGTGCGTCTATGTTTGTTGATTTGTTACCAACGACGAGATCTGGGTGTAAAGAGAGGAACGAACATACATACGCCTAATATTTAGTAATATATAGATAGATATACTTATGGAGAAATCTTATGTATTGCCCCCATGTAAGGACATGGGGGTAGGGTGGGTGAAAAATCATCCTTACGTAATTAATGAATGGCTCCTAAGGGATCTCTCCCAGGCAGCCTTAGGGCACAGTAGTAGTTATATGAAATTGTATGCGGTGTACTTGCTACACGTACACATCCTCAATAGATAGCAGAGGCCGAATCTCGAATATAGTTCTTAGGTTTCTGTCTGACTGTTTGAAAACGGATCAGGAAAAACCGCTGGACAGATTTTGATGAAATTTGGTAATATGATAGCTGGTTGCTCGGGTCAACATATAGGATACTTTTTACTGCGGGAAAACATCTCATCTCTGAGATATCTATACTAAACGTTAAAATGTATCTAGTTTGTTTGTCATTTATAAATTACCATAGTAACCAAATTAACAGTAGGTACATTTAGTTTTTTTTTACAAAAACATTTTATTTATATTTAAAACTAAATGAAATACACATTAATTAATATGGGACTACTATTATACATGCGAAATTTATAGTATATAAAGTTTGTATGTGTGTCTTTCTGCTACTGCTTCACGTTAACACTGGACGGATTTGGATGAAATTTATTATGCGGATAGGTATAGCCTACTGTCAGACACTTAGGGACGAAACCAAACAAAGCGAGGGCAACTCACTAGTTTAAAATATTAATTTACAATATAAATGTTACAGGTACTGCCCATGGTGGAAGGTCGCGACAGACGACCGGAGCTCGGGTACAAGTTGGCCATGGAACTTAAAAATGCTATGGAAGATCAGTAAACAAACACACATACATACATATCGAAAAATATCAAAATTTTAGTAGATACATATTATTTATATAGGTACCTATATTAGGGATGCATCGATTGATACTTGCACCTATACGATAATGAAGGTTTCAAAAAGGCATAAAAATCTGTGGAATTTTACAAACACAAGTTATTTAAATTATATTTATTATACACTAGCATTGCCCGCGGCTCCGCCCGCGTTCAGATGACCAAAAACTAAATTCTTAGGTGTTACATATTAGTATACTCTTACATTGCAGTTTTTGTATTTTTCCTCAGAAATAAGATATTTTCCCGCGGTAAAAAGTATCCTAGGATCGCGCGCTACATCGCCCGGTTTATATAGCTTGAGCAGGCGGTCGAGCGATGCGGGGCAGAGGGGATGGACTCGCCGTAGGCATCTCAATGCTCGCCAAGCATTAAAAATGTTTCGCTACTAATTACTTCTAACAACGATATCTCAAAAACTATTCATCTGATTGATTTAGTGTAAAGAGCAATTTTAATCTGCATTAAATGACTAAGCTAACTAAAATATTCATTTGGATAAGGATTAATACCGAACTAAAGAAAATAACTTTGAAAATAACGTAATGTTTTTAATTAAAAATGTTAACATAAAAGTGGTTATTGTAAGTCAACCGTAAGAGATAGAGATATGCTATCGCGGACTTTCTTGTAGCATTTTTATACATTTTGATTTCTCTAGTACATTACTTAACTGTATCTTTGCTAGTTTACGCGGCGTTCGCGTGGAAAGTTCCCATTTGGCGAGATTTTTTGCGACCTCTTCAACATTTGTCGCCGTATTTCAGCTAATTTACATAAAAGCATAATAAATTATATACCTAAACCTTCCTCAAGAATTACTCTTTCTATTGTTGAAAACCGTATAAAAATCCGTTCAGTAGTTTTCGAGTTTATCGCGTACAGACAGACAGGAGGACAGACAGGAGGACAGAAAGACGCGGCCGGGGGACTTATTTTTATAATAAGTATAGATAAATATAATATTATAAGCTTTATAACGATATTTTAATATGTAATTATAATTGAATAAAACTTGATGGAAATGGAATTGTTAGTCGATTCCAAGCAAGGTGTGAGGAGCAATTCAAAAAAAGAAAGAGTCGTGGGGATTCCCCGAGCGTTATCAATTATATATTTTATAACGCAACTTTTAAAAGCGATGTATCGATAAGTTAACATTATCGATTACTTTAAATCGAGAAACCTACCTTATCGATAATATGTCGATATCGGATGCATCCCTACTTTATATATGCCAGATAATCTAATGACGCCACAATTTAAAAGTAAAAAAAAATCCCAACGAAATTTTGCATATACGAGTATTTCATAAAATACGTTTATTTATTTATATAATTTAATTATTTTTTAGATACGTCACTTTAAATTTAAACGCAAGAATAATTAGTATGGAAAAAAATCGTAATCGTTTAAAGCGTTCGCTAAAATGTAATATTTTTCATAAAAATATAATATACCAGTGTAAAATTGAAGATATTTAACTTCAAGTTCAAAAGTATAGACAATTAGTGCCTTACGTTTCTCTTATAATTTAAATGGCTTACACGTACTTATTATACCCCATGAAACCCATGACAATATGTTACTTAATTTAAAAAAAAAACATGTGAAAAAATCGCCATAAATAATAATAGCTATTTAAATTTAAGCAATTATCCAACAAGAAGGATATATTATTTAATTTAAGGATATATATTTTATAATTATTAGTTCCACGCATACGTTTTCTTTTCTTTCACCGCCTTAAAAATAGAAAATTCTCAAAGGCTTTTTTTAATAATTATACAGATGTCCGCCATTTTATTTAATATCACTTAAATACATGTCACATATCGGAACAAATAATTGAATTGAAGATGTTATTATCTGACCTTTTATTTAACAAAAATATATATCCACTGAGTCAGGATCTCTGAAAAAAAAAATTATGTTCCTGTTATAACTATAATTTATTACCGTAGTACTGTAGACAAATAAAATAATAATATAGGCTAGAACTCTATGAAAGATGTAGAAAGGATTACATTTTTAAAGACTGTTTTAAATTTCCATATATTATATTATATGGTATAAGAATGTATCTTTTTTTTGAAGTGAAAACTTCTATAGGCAGGTTTGGATGGGTAAATTCATGTAAGTCGTCATCGACATGGTCACGTGACGTGTTAACACTAACACTCGGAGTGCAGATAGATGTCGAAACCAGATAAATGTAAACAGTTAACAATTAACAAATTTTAATTTAAGATCAAACAATTAGTTTGAATATCCAAAAATAACAACTGTTTGTTTATAGTTTTAAGTTTTCACTTCTGTCGGTAGTCCTCATGACTGCTTTTTTCTGTTTTAAAAGGAAATCTGCGAGCGGTATTTACTTTTAGCAGATATGTGTTCTAAGATTATTATTTTTACAGTAAGAGTATGGCTCCACTGAGCCATCTACTCCATATTTATACATATTTTTCTTAATAATGTAGGTTATCATTCCTTTTTCTCTTTTTGTTAGGGCAGTTGCGACACATATTCTTATGTTTCATACATAAAAATGTTTCATACAAAAAAAGTATCCGTCATAAAAGTATAGGTTTTATTTATTTGAAAATATAACCAAATACCATTCGTTATAAAAAACAAAATTAAAACAGTCTTCATCAATTACAGTCCATAGACAAAAATAGAATTAGTATGTAGATTGTAGATAATAAAATAAATAGATCTGCTAAATGTAGTGATTAGTAAATACTAACAATGACAATATGGTAATGGTATAATATTTCATTATTTTTTAATATATATTTATATATAATTAAAATATATTATTTAATAGTAACCTTAAAGTACAAAGGTACTCATGCTGGGTCGTGAGTTCGATTCCATAAATTATATATTTATTTTATTAATAGACTAGGCTGTGTGCTTCTCTCTAACGACACTTTCTTATTTATTTTTATTTAACAGTTAAGTATTGGTTTGTGAAAATAATGCAATAGGGAATATGTGTGTGGTTTAAATAAAGATGATTTTTTTTATAATATTTATTGCATTTGTATTAAGCTTATATTAATATTTTTTAATGTAATTTCTTTTTGATTAACAAAATAATTATTAAAAAGTGCAAATATAGATCGGAAAATTCAAAGTAGTTGAAACGCAACGCCATTGGTCAGACCGAATATGACGTCAGTGTTTCATAACAGACCCAGTGTTGCCAGTTTTGTCGCTAAAAATTGCATAAGCAAAAGTCGTTGTTTTTAGCGACTATGACATCACGCCAAGTACGAAATGGCGAGTGTTTAAAATATCCGTATGATTTATATTTTTTTAATTTCATACAAAATTTTAGTTTTTTGGAGCTGGATATTTATTTTACAATTATATAACGATGTGTAGCTATTGTATAAAAAAAAATCATGCGTATTCCCTATTCTTTTATGGCGTGATCTATTCACATGTTAAGACACATTGATCTATTATCAATAGATATGATGCAATTAAATTATTTATTGTAGGCTTTAAAATAATTTGTTGTAGGCTTTAAAATAAATAATCTTTTGCACTATATAGTACTTAGGGTTTTACATTTGTAATTGGTGTGATTTTAATAAAATGATTATTTAATCAATAAAATTGTTAATATCAAATATGTATAACATTTGACAATATGAGATGATTTATGTGAATTAATATTGATGTGTCTTCTCCATTGTGTATGACATTGGCGAAGTAATCTGTGCTCAACTGGCACGCTTTGAAGCCATTAATTAACAAGATAATTGAATTAAATTATTATTAATATACAATATATAATAATTGGTGGATTAAGTAATTGCAGGGATATGAAATGGAGTAAAATTATAACTTAAAATAAAAAATCGGTCAAGTGTGAGTCGAAATTGCACACGAATGGTTCTATACCATTGTACATGTACTTTTTATTAAAATGACTGTTACTCTATGTATGTAGTATATTAACTTCGATGATCGAACGTTAAAAAATGTTTCTTGTATTTTTATTATTTGTTGTTATAACAGCAATAAAAATACATATTCTGTGAACATTTCAACTCTCTACCTATAATGGTTCATGAGATACAATCCGCTGGCACACAGAAGTTTAGTAATAAGGTTCCGTTGGCACCTCTCGTAAAACACACATAAAAATTCACATTTTATAAAAATATAAAATTGTTCTATACAAATCAATTATATAATTGTATGTGTACAAACATACATCTTTATTTTGTTAGAAATTGTTATTTCAAATAGAAATGTATGAGGCATATAGAATATAGATTAAATAAGTGATAGTAGATATACACAAACGTAAAAACCCTTTCTTGCACTCAATTTAGACATTCCTATTAGATTAAATAAAAAAAAATATTTATTCAATGGTTAGTGAGAAAATAAATATGTTTTAAACAATATATTTTGTAGATGTCATATATTCAATGTTATGCGGGGTTAAAAGAATAGTATAGGTACATTGTTCTAGGCTTAATGTTCCTAGATTGGATGGATAATTTATGCATATTTCAAGAAATTTAGGTAATAATATAGATTCTTTTGTTATTTGTCAAGATAAATGTATTCTAATACATTTGAATTTATTTAAATATTTTTTACTAAAGATAAACATGCAAACATTTTTAAATATTATAATATTTATGGTTCATAATTATTTTATTTTTGTATTGTAATTGAGCACTTTTTTAACGTGCGACTGCTGGGCCAGGCCCTTCAAGGCTTCACTACAAGGAGAATCATGCCATAACACACTACACTGGCCAAATTCGGGTTGATGGACTTCATATTGTCTTTCGAAAACATGCTCGTTTGCGATATTCTTGCTAACTTTAAATCAAATTTTTAATAACATTTTTATGTATGACATCTACAAATTATACGAAATGCCTTCTAGATGTGATAGTCAGCCATTGTTCCTCTTTGTGTACACTCCACGTGTTAGCAAATATAATGATACTAGGTAATTATAGTGTTTTATTTATTTTCCTTTATTCAAAAAATATACAACATTGATAAACAACAATTAAAGATACACAACTAGCCTCTCAAGTGTTTTCAAAAATATGCACATAGTTCTAAATAATGCGCTTTTTCAAATGTTTTTTTTTCATTGCTTTTCGGATGACGACAAAATTAAAACGAATGTTGTTTCGTTTTAAAAAGTACTTTATGTGGTGTACGTAAATTCGAATTTGTGTTTAACAATTAGAACTTGCTATTTTTGTTTTTTTCGAATATATCGACTCCACTTTTGAAGAGATATAGGTATGTTAGGAAATATGTTTTTTTATAATATCTCGATGAAAAAAACCGGTTTTATTTATCGCAATTACTTATTAACTATTTAAGATAAATGTCCTTGCCTTATTAGTACAAGCATATTTTGTGTTTGAATTGTAAAGTCTAATAAAAAAAACAATTGTAAAAAAATCTTTATTTCACCAAACATATTAACCTACCTTATTTTGAGCAATAAAAAAAACAATATTATAGGAACTAGATTACAATAATAACTTGATTTTATTTATTATTATTTAGAATATTTGTATAATAAAATATTTACATAGTGCAATTATTAAATCTGTATAAATATTTAAAAAAATAATAAAATAATATCATAATATTAACGAAACAAAATAACACTGAAACAAAGTTTAAAATATTACAATCAGGCTAGAGGTCACTAGTAATAAATCACAATGTTTCGAGAACATGATATTTGTGGACTCTCAAAGGAGGTAATTATAAGAAAAGTTTCAGTATGTATTACAATCACTTTATTTGTTAATGTATAACTATATTTTTTCAATGAAAGTTTTCATTAATTAATTTCACAACTTTGGTATAAAATGCCTTGACCCTTTTATTTTTTAATACTCGTAATACCTTTCTTTTTTTTTTGTTTTCGCTGGGGAAACCCATCATAGGGACCCAGCCGACCATCATCGGGCAGGGTACTGTGAAACTCCTACTGACAAAAACCCACAGCGGAACCCATCGCCGCAGTGCAATGGGGCGTTGCAGAAATACCTATATTACCTAGTCTAAGCAAAACATAAGAGAAAACAAAATTTATAATACCCACATATATGATATAGCGATACACCCTCGCTCTGCTCGGGTTTGTCCCTTGGTACGTTTTAACAGTTAGTATAGATTTTAGTAGTTGCTAGAAAAAAGTATTCTAAATGATGTCCCAGATAACTAGCTATCATATACCAAATTTCATAAAAATCTGCCCAGTGGTTTTCATATGATACATTCTCAGACAAACAGACAAAAATTCTAATATCTATATATTCGGCCTCTGTACCGATAATAATTATTATATCAATAAGATTTTCCAATAAATATTTAATGTACTGATTTGACTCAGAATTTTATAATATGTGAACTAGTGCAGTCGTAACACAGTGTCTATTAAGCCACTGGTGACAAAATTTAAATCTATCTAAATCTAAAAATTTTAGTATTAACTATTTCTAATGGCTCGGATTGTGATCATAAAATTGCCGAAGTATAGGTTCATAGGTGAAAACATAAGTTTACAACTGTTTACATGTTTTATCTAATATTTTCATAGATTTCCGCCAAGTACATTTACATAAAGCTATCTTTTCCGATTTATTGACTGATTTATTTTGGATTTTGGTCGATGTTTTGAGTGCTTTACAGCAATCGTGGTCACAAGAGAGATTCTCTCCCATGACCATGATATGGATTGTTGGCAATATAAAAATAAACCCAAAAATCTGAAAAGATAGTTTTAATTACATTGTTTTATCTAAATTGAAATGTAAGCTAAGGACAAAAATTAATTTATATTCGATCCAGTATTGACTTACATTAGTGAAAAGATCTTAGCATTGTCTTTATTCATAGCATTTTCTTTTATGACAATAGTAGCACATATAACATTCATTGATATTTTTAATTATATGAAGGATGTTGGTTGAAGTAATTGAGTTCAAGTAAGCCACACACCAAAAGCCCATGAAGAACAATAATTGAACTATAAATATTAGGTAATTTATGCAGCACTGAGAGAAGAAAATACTTCTCTTCCTAATTTATGTGCAATAAAGTCTAAAATTGTAAGCACAAGTTCTCGTCGACTGGATGTGCAAAGCATTAAGACTTCAAAGGCATGAACATAATCAATAGGATCAAGTCGTCTGAGATAATTGAAGACTATGTAGAAAAGTTCTTTCAATTTCTCTTTAACAATTGTCCAAATTTCCCTTAGAGATACCATAGCTGGAATAAAATGTGTCAACTTAGTAAAAAATTAATTTTCACATTATCAAACATAAAAAATATAACTAAACATTAAAATAACTAAGCAGTAAAAGCTCCATTAATTTATTTTAAAAATATAAAACTTTTGTACTATGGAACGGTTTTTTTAATAAAGTAAAAATCAAATTAATACTTACTAGATACTCCAAACCCAGTTGCTCCACCTATCCCAGCACCTAGAGCTGCACCCATCCTACCTCCAGCATACCCACCGACCAAGCCCCCGGCTATTGCCAAGGCTCCTGTCAGTATAGCTGTGTCTTGATCCCATAGCACTCTTATATGAAATGCATCAGCTAAACAAGATATAAATTTTAATTTTAAATTACACAAGGTAATAAAAGATTTTTATAATGAGACAAGTTTATTATCACTTTTTAACATTTAATTACATGATTAGAATAATATTATGAATATATTTAGTGAAGAAAACTGAAATAAAGTTGAAATGAATGATCACATTTGGCTGAAATTAATTCACCAAGAAATGTAAATGTTATAAAACTACGTACCTACATATAAGTTTCTAAATATATAAACGACATTGAGTAATAACGACGCAATCAAGTGGAAATACTAATAATAAAAAAATTCATTTTTTACATTATTCATTCTAGATATTTCCTTACTATTTACAAGTAAAAAAATTTATAAGTTTACATTTATCATGATCAAAACTCACCCAAATCTAAAATAATTTGCTCAATCCATCTTTGGTCAAAGTTTACTTCGGGAGACACGTACGGTTGTACCGCCAAAGACATTTTTTATAAAATAATTCTTTGTATTTATCAATAAGACGTATTTGAAAAGATGGACGAGAATGATCTTGCCTATCGAAAACTTATAAGGTGTAAATGGGAAGTGGGAACGGAGCCAAATTATGAAAATTCGTTACAAAATAATAATAAACATGGACATTGTAATTTGTCACATTGGACAAATTTAAGGATGTGAAAAAATATTTGATTATGAAAATAATCTTTTTCTTTAAATAAAAATCGCAATTTAATAAACGATTTTAATCGATTTTCTTTCATAAGCATAAATTAATTATAATCGATTTTTCATCTGGCACCTGTGACAAAAAGTGCTTACCTACTAAATGCTAACCTAAGCTCTTATTCCTAAAGTCATTACCTACGGATTTCTAGGTTTTTTTATTTCAATAGTTTAGTTTTGGTAATTTACGTTGATTATTCTAAAATTTTAATTTGTGTTGATTATTTAAAAACTTCTTATTTCTAATTAATAAAGTTGAAATTGAAAAAAAAACCAATCGATTATTTAATAATCGATTGTTTATGTAGAATGTCCATCCCTATAGACAATACGGTTTCCAAAGTCAAAACAACGCTAAAATATCAAGTTTTATTTGTCATCCATGCTGTCAAGTGTCAAATGTACGAAATAAGAGTTTGTTGTTCGCTTGTGCCCTTTTAATGTTAAAGGATTTGAGAAAATAAAATTGAATTATTAATAAAATAAAATACTAAATGAACATAAATATATTTAAGTTTGGATAGACGACAATTATAACGCTATATAGATATATTTTAAATATGTAACAAAAATGGAAAATAGATATTAAATTAAGGATAACTAGTAAATAAAATGTGCTTGTTAAGGTACCTGAATTTTATTTTTAGACTTATAAATATATTTTTTCTATTACATTTTAAAACATTTTGCCTTTACCAACGACTATTATTTTTTAATATAATAATTTTATTTTAAAGTAGGTAATAACAAATTCTATCAATACTAAACTAACATCAACTACAACCTTTAATAAATAAAATCAATACAAATCATAAAAATACGTTCAAAATCTAACAGAAATTAAAAGAAAACTGTATCAACAATTCAAGCATATTTCAGAGAAAGAATAAAAGAAAGAATCACAAGAGAATAAAAGCACAATAGATTTTAACGATACTAAAATTTACACAATATATTAAATCTCAGAATCATTTACAGTTACTCATAAATACTGGATTATCGCAGTAATGTCAATAAAATATCACAGTCTAGTCTTCAGTCAATAATACAGTCTACTACCAGTAGTCGATTACATTAAGTCAATAGTATAATATTTATTTTAATAATAACTTAAATCTAAGCAGTCAGACTTGATAGTATTTTTTTCCCAAGAACGTCAGATGTAACTTGTAAAATGACCATAGCAAGCTGCGTACTGGTTCCACTATCTTGCATTAAAAATTTGGCAGCGTTTTTATAATCGTTTATACCTAGACCAGCTAGATAATCGTAGACTATGTCGAATAGTTCCGAGAGCTTCTCTCTTATATCTTGCCATATATCTCGCATGGATACCGCTGAAACAATTGTAAGGGGATCTAAAATTAGTTAAGCGGGTAGTTTTATATAAATAATTATTTTAGGTAGATATTTAATTAAACCGATTACAATTATTGAGACCGTCAGCCCAAAAGTAGCCTAACCCACTACGTTACATAAAGAGGGTTATGCTACTTTTGCGCTGACGAGCTCAATTTATGTTAGACTAGCGACTCACCCTCGCTTTGCTCAGGTTCGTCCCTACTTACGTTTTACCGTTTAGTATAGATTTCTCAGAGATGAGATATTTTCCTGCAGTAAAAAGTATATGTTGACCCGAATAACCAGCTACCATCATACCAAATTTCATAAAAATCCCTTCAGTGGTTTTTCTGTGATGCGGTAACAGACAGACAGACAAAAATTCTAAAAACTGTAGATTCGGGCTCTGTATCGATAAAAATGTCTATTTCAATAAGATTTTTAAAAAAATATTTAATGTACAGATTCGGCTTACTTAGAATTTCATTATATGTATAGATGAGTGTAGTTAGAGAGTTAAAAATCCTCTAATGAAAAAACCTTACCAACTATCCCAAGTCCACAAACGCCACCTACTGCTCCTCCAACGGCCGCTCCAATTTTACCGCCATAATGTTTGCCAATTAAGGTCCCAGCCAGCGTCAGGCCAGTGGTTACGAGTATAGCGTTCTTTGCTCGGCTATCATTTAAGATAATGCGAAAGTTGAACTTATCGCTAATAGACAAAATCACGTTTTCTAAAGAAGTAGGATCGAAGGGTAACCCGCATGTGCCAGTTTCACGGCAGCAAAGATCGTATTCGCCTTCGATATCCGAGCTAGAATATTCAGTTTCGGAATCTGAATTCATTGTGTAAGTGACTTGTTTAAAGTAATTTGAACAGCAACTAGTACGCAACTGATACAATGATCGGCAATCGTTATTTTTTATTAAAATTTAAAACTACCCTCATTTCAGCATCTTAAAGAAATCTGATTATAATATTGGATTAGATTAAGTCGTAAATTAATGTAAATATACAAAAACAATGCAAGTAATATTTACATATATAAAAAAATATGTTTAATAATATTAAATACAGTAAAGATAATGTATTTATAAAAATATATTATTTTTATTTTATTTAAATCGTAAAAAAGGAAAGATTTAGAATACGAAACTCTTGACAGTGACAGTAAACTATCATATTGTCAGTCTTAAAGTAACTTTATATTGATGTCAGTTCACACTTCACAGTTGTCACTTCTAGTTTGAAATCATGGATGACAAATAAAATTTGAAATCATTTGAAATATTCTTATTTGTTTTTAGTTCATAAATATTTACATTAATGGCACACAGAAATGTATACCAAAAGTTGGGTTTTCGCATTTCTGAAGAAGTACAACTTTTGGCGGAGGAAAAATGGATAGTTGAAGCTCTGGCACAAATAAAGAACCAGCGTAATTGTTTACAGGTATTTTATAAAATATTACATATTGGTATATTCAACCAATTTAGCCCAATAAATTAATGTTAAGCTAAATTTATGATTATTTTAGATAGAAAGACTGCACTTGGAAAGCTTGAAATCGAAGTTAAAAACGAGTCAAAGCAAAAACGTCCCTGAAACAAATTTAAACATACAAGAAGATAGTGTAGCGAGTACATCCGCTGTTAACATAATGCAAACTGTGTCTACTGGGAAAGCCAATGATAAAGAGATGAAAATAAACGAAGAATTTTGTAATGAAGAAGAGCTGAATTTGATGGTATCCACTCCTGCATTCAGTAAGTTTTTCAATAATACTAATAATACTCCAAAAATCTAAAATAAACATATTATAAAGAAATGTTGTCTGACTGAACTTGCAAAAAATAGATCTGTTTATGTTGTATCTATTGATATTTTATAATATGACTATATTATATTTTTATTATATTTACAGTGAAAAGCAACAACAATGATGATTTCAACATGGAGGAAGACGAAGAAGAAAGTGATGATGACATGTTCATAGATATGAACATGTTGATGAATGGAACTGCAAAATGACAGACTAAAATAAGTTTAGTTTAAGTTAATTTTAGTTTTTTAGTCATTTTAATTCCAATATTATTATATTTTGGCTATATAATTAAATGCTTTTAAAGTTATTATTGTTATAACAATTAAGAAATAGAAAAGAAAAGACTCTGTCCAGATTTTAGGCATTCTTTCCTCGCATTGTTTGTAAATCTGTGATATGTTAGTGAGTTGACCTTAATATTAAGCTTTTTGTAAATATTATGAAATAAAAATAGAACTGTAATGCCCAATTTCACCAACATCCCTTAAGCTACCACCTATGTATGGGATCCCTAGCTTAAAAGCTCCTCCAAACTAGTCCCAAAATTAAATTTCGTTTTACCATCGTCTTTGACACCTATCTAGGAGATATTTAACTATATGATGTTTTGTCTTCGATGCTAGTGCTTACTTTGTCTTCAAATTTATAGATATTTTGAAACAATATAGCTTTTTAACAAATTCTCTTAAGTATACCCTTAAATGGATACGTTTATTAATTAATTGTGCTTTGATAATAAGTTATAGTATTAATTTATATGTATTTTTAATTAATTTCATATTGTCTTGCATATTTTCTCTGTGGATATGTATAAAACCTTGCGTAAAATATGTGCAAAAGAATCGCGACATTTCGAATTTCGCAGCTATGTTTTTGTGAGGGATAAGAGCGGCACCCCAGTTGCTGCCATTCTTATCGATAGACCCCCCGTGATGCCTATTGCGACCAGATTCACTCCCTGTTGCGCACGCTCCAGCGGCTTGGTGTAGGTAGGTGACGCCCATAGACGCCGCCTTCTGTTGGAGCGTTATAATAACAGCCGCAGTATGCGACGGAGCGGCAACCTTTGGCTTAGCCGGCACCAAGTGGCCTTTGGCACTGGCCTAGCAGTTGCCGGGGTGGCCGGTGCCGCTGGAGGGGAAGACTTTTGCCCTTTCCAATTTCATAACTTCTTCTTCTTCTTCCTGCCCAATACCCAATAAATAATAATATAACCTATTATCCATATAACCTATGGGCTTGATGCTCTAGAGGTGTCAAAAAATTTTTATTAGTGGCCAGTGGCCACTGACAGTGGTTTGTAAAAAAAGGCTGTCGCAATAAATCGTTTAAAGCAGTGCTAAAATTATCTTATAATTGTGTGTAGACATTACTGTAATTCATTCCTCCACCACTAAGCTTTATAGGTTTTTCCATTGCTATTTTTTAAGAACTGTAAATAACAAAGGCAATAACCTTCACCATCCTCTTATATCTGCCTTATTTCATTGTAGCGGCTGTAGAATGTCACTACGACGATGCGACCATTCTTGATTGTGGTCGCACATCTTCCTCATTAAGTGATTCTTACAAGGTTTTATCACAGATCACATAATACTATACTAGTATGGATGCATCATCCCATACACATAAATTGATCATCGCTAATTCGGGCTATTATTTGGGCTATTTTTGTTTGCTTGAATTGATAATAGATGTCGTTGATTTGCAAATAGTTAAACTGTTTTATGTTGTAAATATGTGCAAACTAACGCATGTTAATATATTGTAAAATTTATCCTGCATTCGAATAAAAAAGAAGATTGATTTTAACCATTTTTAACCGTGACAAACAATTCATTAAAAGTAAAAGCGCCATCTGTGAATATACACTACAAACCCATGTGATTGCTGATAATTTCAATAATCTGTAAAATTACGCAAATTTGATTTACGGGCGCATTATTTCGTTTCACTTCACTTAGAATATTTTTTAAAACAATAATATACCTTTTTGGGATGTATTTTTTTTCTTTTATTAATTTAACACAACTTTAATATAAAGTCGTGTATCGACTAACGTCATCTATTGACATTTATTTGAACTAATTTTTCTTTGTTCGTGATAAGGGCCAATGAATTTAATAAACATTACGACACCCAGTGCCCAGTAGTCCAAGTGACTAATTAAAGTGAATCAAATATTGGTAGATAATAATAAGGGAGAAAATTAAAACCTCCATATATAATAACAAAGAATTTAATAAAGTTTGTCTTACATACACAATAATTATCAATTTAAGTATGTATGTACAGTATTTCATACAACATTTTATACACAAAATATTCTTTATATATTGAAACCGTGAAATGGCACTAAATGATAATACTCCGCCGGAAGCCAGTCGTTAGTTGCTTTAGGCACTAAAATTCGTTATATGAAATATGAATGATATTCGAAGGAACGGTAAAAAATGGACTAACACTTTAAAGTAACTAACTTAAAACTTTAACAATCAAAAGTTTTTTTTAATTACTCATTAATTCATACAGACTGTTAAAGATATTTACGTTTTAGTTAATATTAAGTATATTAAAAAATTCGTGGCAATGGCAGATTAAACGAAAATAATTCCCTGAAAATTTTCTGACATCATTTGTTAGTCCACTTTTTAATAAGAATGAATAACTGTTCAAATAAATTGGATATATATTTGTATTAAAACATACCACACACTACTCAGTCTTTCTTTCAACTCAAATTCCACTCATTATAATTAAAGTTAAATAAAATATTCAAATGCGGAAGCGTTTGTACAGCCATACATGTTCCCATACAAAAATATATGTACCAATGTGGAACCCATACATATTTAATTAAATATAATAATGGTATACAAAATAATTTTAAGGAAAAGGAAGACTAATGTTTGATATTGTCTTCTCAAAGTGAAGATGATAATGTTGACAATAAATAAATTGCAAATTCAAAAATCATTTAATACTTTGTTTTTTAGTTTTAAGGACAGCCATTTTAGGTAATGATTATGGATTTTATGAGCCTAACAGAGCAAAAGTGGCCTAACTTTGAACAATGCGAAAAAAGAGAATATTTGAGTAACACATGGTTGCCATCAATATTTACATAATTAACAAATAGATATTCTTTATAGTACATATTTGTTGGGCAGTGCCAAATGGAACTCATAGTGTGTGCACATAAAAGCTTCATATAAAATGTTCTTAATTAGTCTAATAATATATATGATACAAACGATTGCGATCGATTCCGTCTTTACCATAAGGAAATATGGGGCATATGCCTAGGGGGTCACGAGGACATTTTCGTTTACATGGAAAAAATAAAAACTCAATTTTTAGTTTATAAAACAATACACTGTACACTACAGACTTAATAATATTATGTTCGTTCGTCAACTTTGTCCATCTTTTTAGCTGACATAATCATCTATATTTTTTGATCTTTCAAAAGGGTCCTAAATTGTTGTGTGATAAGCGGGCCCCGCATGGCTTAAGACGGCTCTGATTGCGATAAGGCCGTATAGAAAATAGTAATTTTATATTTTAGTCAGGCCATTTTTGCCCTGCAGGTGATATAAATATTTGAAGAGTACAGGCAAAGAACAGTTATGTCCTAATGAATAGATTATGAGGAATATCAAATTTAAAAGTATAATATTTTTATTGAGATCAAAGTATGCGGTAACTTAGAACTATGTACATTTTTGGACAATCCTCCTTCTTTACCGGTATGTCATGGACATTCCCAGTACTTTTAGCTTTGGGCATAGATAAAAATGTAAGTTTAGCGACATCCGTTGAGTATTTGTAAAAACCAGTGGATAGGAATGCAATTACCATAGACTCATTTCTGGCATTAGATAATTTTATATACCTAAATCTAAATTAGGATGTGCTGGTCATCGCAGCTTGGGTAGTTCCCGCAATAAACAGGCAGGCGGCCAATCGTAAAACTTGCTAAAACCTATCAGCAGTACGGATGATGTACTACGTCGACCCTAAGTGATTGGGAAATGGGCAGGGAGATGACGATAATTGATTTATTTGTTTACATTTATCTGGTTTTGACATCTATCGGCGCTCTGAGTGTTAGCGTTAACACGTCACGTGACCATGTCGATGACGACTTACATGAATTTACTCTCCATCCAAATCTGCCTATACAAGTTTTCACTTAAAAAAAAAACAAAAATTGTGATATTTCCTGTTCTTTGCCTGTACCCTTTATTCATATTAATCGATTTACATTTACTTATTGTGACATCATCCAAAAAAAGTTGGCAGAAATTGACAAAGCTGTAAAACCGCGACCTTACGAGTTAACTAGTAGGTATATTACCATATTTAAAAACCAAAGTGAAGTACAACGTCATATTCAAATAAAACTATGAAACATAAGATTTCTTCTTTAATCCAGTCGATGTTTTAATTTTTTATAACGGTAACATTTTATTTGAAATAAATATATTTAAGGTTAATAATTATTACTATTCTAATTTCTTATTTAATCTAATTTTAAAGAAAACAAATGTATGACAGCCTGTTGATGAATAAGGCGGAAGTAAATATTAAAGACCTACAGTTAAATGTAACATGAAATCACAACAAATTAAGTTTTCTTTTATTAATTAACATTATTTAAGCTGGCAATTCCTTAAGTAACGATCACTGGTGTTGCCATGTATGTAGTTGTACCAATGTTAATTTAAATGTCAGTTATAAAAACAAAATAACACGTTATTATTATTATTAGGTACAAACCAGACAATGAAAATAAGATTCGTACAGACAAATCTTACGCCTAAAATATAATAACCTTGTTTATCGATTTTCAACCTACCACAGATAGAAAAAGACAGTGGTACCATAACAATTATGTCAAAAACCTATCTCTAGTAGTCAATAATCAAAAGGTAAATAATTTTAGTATCAATCAAAATCTACCAGATACACAATCCCATGCAAAACTTCTCTTAAAACTGTCACCAATTGTGTTTAGGTAATTATTCTAGTTGAAATAAATATACAACAATGTAAATTGAACCTTAAATGCAGTGTTTAAAGTTGTTTTTACAAAAAAAATATTAAAAGCGCGCTCAAATGTTCAAATGAGCGCTCATTCGGTGAGGACATTCTTTGTCGCTGATTGTGTATCTAGTACTTTTTTGGTAGATGAATTTTAGCCATAATGTTAATATTTTAGATATCCATACAATCGTGATGACGTCATAGCAATTTAGATTTTTCACTGTACATAAGGAACTCGGGCATTGGTTTTATAAAGAGATGATGAACCAATGAAGTAAATAGATTTCAATTATAAAAAAATATACAATAAAATCCAATGTAAATAAGCATATCTCGACGCTTTCGCGCCATTTTGTTGGCAGACGGCGTTTCCATCTTAGCAATTTTGTTAATTGAACCCGTGACCTCCACTATATTATAATAACATTATAATTATTTATATCACGGTTCATCAACTCTAACTTAGCATTGAACAAATATAAATAAATGTTATACAAATTTTACATTTTGTAGTCAATGTAATGGTATGTACCCATAATACCGTAGAATACTATTTATTTAATTCATATGACAAAAAAAACTTTTCATCAATAAATTCGAACTAATTGACAAGAAAAACAATGTAAATCAATATTTCATTAAAAACAGTTTGCTTCTAACATTATAAATCACCAGCGACTCACCCCCGCTTCACTCGGGTTCGTCCCTAGCTTGCTTCCCAATACAAATTTCATCCTCGTTTTCACCAGTAAAAGTGTCCTATGTCCTCCCCCAGGGTCTCAAACTATCTTCTAACCAAATTTCATCTTAACCCGTTCAGTAGATCCAGAGATGAGAGAGAGAGAGACCCTACAACGCCACAAACTCACAAACTTTACCTCTTTATAATATTAGTATAGATAATGTTCATCCATAAATTTTTATTTTAGTTTTTGGTAGACAGCAAGTCAAATATATAATTAGTATGAGAAAAATCAAAGGAACTGCAAATTAATCGCAAAAAAAGTAAAAAAACTTCTATACATACAGTTTTATGTATGACCAATTTAAAAAGGCCTAACGATTTAAATTATATTTTATATTCTTTAACTAATTAAAAATAACAAACAAAATTGTTCGATTAAATAAATAATACACTACGGTATAGTGGGTCGACACCTTAATAATTTAGATTCCACTACACTTTACATACAAGGTGAACACTTTAAAGTGTAAGTGTTAAGTGTTTCGAGTGTGTGCCTGTGTGTATGTGTGTCGATCACGAGCGCGTGCAAGAAGTGTAGAACAGTATGTAGGCGGCGCTCGAGCGCACCTCGCTCGCCGGGATCTCTGTGACGAGGTGGTCGTCGTATTTGTACCATCTGGGGTTATATATCAAATGCTTTAGTTAGCGGATGTTTATTTGCGGTATTACAGTTTATATTACAATTAACACATATTTATCATGAGTTTTATATCCTTTACTTGAGAAACGATTGATTACACTTATAATTTCCACACCCATTGAACCCTCTTAAAGGATTATTTCCCGGATAAAACCTGTCCTATGTCTTTCCTAGGGTCTCGAACTATCTCCATACCTAATAGCATCTAAATCGGTTCAGTGGATTAAGCGTGGAAAGGTAACAGATAAACAGACAGACAGTATTACGTTAGAATTTATAATAGTACAGTTAGGATTTAAAACCATTGTGCATAATAATACTCTCCTCTTAACTTCACTGAGACACAACTCTCAATTCCTTTAACTCTTGAAGACATCTCGACAGGTTACAGAATATTAGAGAGAAAAGGCCGGTAAGTATTTTGACTCGATCCGGGACTCGAACCTAATCGAAACACATCACTAGTCCAACGAAGCAGTTAAGTAATAAATATGTTTTGTTCCCAGGCATTTTCAAAGATTTAATTAACACTAGGTATTGTCCGCAATTTCGCTCGTGTGAAAACACACTAAGTCATGTTAAGTGGTCATGGACTTATTAAGTGAAACCAGAGTATAAAATCTATGCAGTAAGTATCGTCTTCCATATTAACGAAAATTTGACCGAATAGTCAAAAATACTCATTTTCATGACAATCAATTTCGAACTGTCTAAACGAGTTCATTACTGTATGGTAATCCATAGACTGTGGTAAAATCTAGATATTTATTATAATTAAAATATATAAAAATACTCACTTTCCGTAAACACTGCTTTTGCAATACGCCGTATAATGTCCGCCTTCCATCGACCCATAGTGGTTGGAAACCGCATACAAATTGTACAGGGGATTCCCGGGACAGTGCAAACTGAACTGCCTCATGTCAAGGTCTTCTAAAGGAAAATCGATGTATGTTTGTTTTTTCCTGTACGTGTTACACATATACTCCTTCGGGTCGACGTAGAATCGTTTAAAATGTATCACTAAGACTGGTGGTAGACGAGATATGTCCAATTTCTTCACAGCGTCCCGTTTTTCCTTGCAAGTTGGACAATTCCAGCCCGGTATCGTCTCACCGTTGAGGTAAAGATTTAGACAGTCCTGTGGAATGCAACAAAACTAATGAGTTGTGGAAAAAGTGACTTAATGTTTATGATCAGTTTGTTAGTTAATTTTACACATATTTAAGAGATAGATATAAGATTAAGAGATAGAGATTTATTATATCGACCACACGTTTGATTCAGTTTCTAGTGACTCTAGGTGCTGTGCCAGCGGTCGCGGGTTCGAGTCCCGCCGGGGGCATTCATTTGTGTGGTGAGTACGAATGTTAGTACGCCAGTCATGGGTGTTTATATTTATAATACGTATGACCGACCGCGAGCGTGCAGCGCGCGGCGCGCGCGGGCAGCTCCAGCGACAGGTTGGAGAAGGAGTCGTAGGTGGGCGAGCTGGCGCGGCACACCGTGCAGCGCACCGTGGACCGGATCTGGCCGTGGAACAGGCGCAGCACCAGGCTCTCCTTGGACTTGGTGTACTCGTGCCACGCGCGCTCCGAAGCGCCCAGGCTCTCCTGGGGACGTAACGACGTTCATACTTTCTCAGAACTACGCGAATATTTGACATCTGTATATATAAGAGGCGAAGTGGTCGACTGATGTATCGACGCACAGACCGACCTCTTAAAACTAGAAAATTGAAATCTCGCACATGTATTCCTCATATGACGTAGGCGTCCACTAGGAAAGAATTTTTCAAAATCCACCCCCCAAAGAGTTGAAAGTTTGTATGAAACCTTTTTAGAGATATTTTGTAGTTTTAGCGCGAACGAAGCTGCGGGTTCTGCTAAGCTGCTTGTAAAAGTATATAGTAATAGTGTTGCTTAGTAAGTTGTCTTTTTAAATAATAGCAAACTAAATTATAATTATTATCCTTAATTAATTTTAACTTTTTAAATTACACATAGAACAATTATATGGCTTAAATAATGAATACTATATTTTATATTTTTCTATATGGTTATAAATATAATAATGGCAACACTAAATATAGATTACTAATTAATATTTTTAAATTGTAGTAATTATAAGAATAACAGCAAAAATTAAATAAATTATGTTCTATATTCAATTATAAAACTAATTAAAATTATAAAAATGTTTAAAGTTAAAAATATTGTAAAGTAATTGGTGCAATTTTCATTTTGTTAATTGTGGGTAGGCTGTCTGTAACAACTATACCTTCAAGACATGTAACACCTCAGTCTCTCCCGTGACCATGGATGCTGTAAAGCATTCGAAACGTCGGGAACCAAAAATCAAAATAAATCCGCGAAATAATCCGAAAAGATAGTTTTATTTATAATATGAATAGATTAAAATTCACCCGATCTGAGAAAAAGAGGTATTAATTCACTTGTATATAAAATTGTTACATCTTTACCGATTGTGATTTTACCACTAGGTACATTGTAAATATTTTAAGGACAATGTTTTTTGTTAACAAACTCAAAACAATTTTTTTTATTTATTTATGTCCCATAAAAAATATTTCCTTTAACAAAGTAAAATTAAAACACATTGTACAAAGAATGACTATGTGGTCTTACCTTGTGTGGTGGTTTGATTGTGAACTGCAGATCTAGATGCAGCCAGTCCATGAGAATGGTGAGGAACTCGTGCGAGTCCTGCTGCTCGCTGCCGCGGAACGCGCGCTGGTGTTTACCCACTTCGTTCTGTACAAACAAACACACGAAATTACATCACTATTTACTATGCGACGACACGTTTGGCTCAATTTGTAGTGACCCTGCTTGCTGTGCCAGCTATTTTCTCAAAATGGATGGATCTACACATTTTGCATAACTAGGTCAGTATGTGTGTACATATTTGTTTCTACTACACGTTAAAAGGCTGGACGGATTTAATTGAAATTTAGTACACAGATTGATTACGATTTGGAGTATCTATCAGTGATTATGATATCTTTTAATTGATACGTCACTCGATGAATTTGACATTTTTTTTTTAATTCTAGAAGACCAGTGTAGAAAGGAGAAAATATGCTATGACGGATGAATAAACGTAAATTATCAAATAAGGGCTACATGTATCATCCGATGTACTGAAATCAAACAAAAAAAAGAAGAAATCTTCTTACTCTTAAATCTTTAGCGGCGATGAATCTGTACTGTCCCGACCACAGCGCTCGCACCACTGCCGCTAGTTCTTCGGCTATCGCACCACGCGTGCTATGCGACCTGAGGAACACTGACTTTATAAAAAATATAAAAAATATAGACTGTGCAAAATGGTTCTACCATCGATTAAAAAAGTACTAAGATACACAATCCCATGCAAAAGTTCTCTTAAAACTGTCACCAATTGTGTTTAAGTAATTATTCTAGTTGAAATAAATATACAACAATGTAAATTATACCTTAAATGAAGTTTTTAAAATTATTTTATTTAATTTTTTTAAATTAAAAGTGCGCTCAAATGTTCAAATGAGCGCTCATTCAGTGAGGATATTTTTTGTAACTCATTGAGTATCTAGTACTTTTTTGATCGATAGGTTCAAACGTTGAAATCAAATTGTGCTTGAAAAAAATAGAAAAGGCGATTTTTGACGTGATAACGTCTTTAAATCGATGAACGCCGGCTGCACGCACGAAAAAGTGTCACGTTCTGCCCGAGCCGAGCGGGCGAGCGCGGAACAAGCGATAGAGAGGCATGATCGGCCTAAGTTGTTAATAGCACATTGTTACTAGTAATTAATCTGTATAATTAAGTTATAAAATATTTGAACTAAGAAGTGCGAATAAATGTTAATTTATCGAATAAATTGTAATTTTCAAGTAACTCCTTCTTTGTATTATACAAAATAACGATAATTATTCAAGTCAATTCATAAAAATATGCAAATTTTCATCAATATTTTCTTATGACGTCATCACGTAAAATTATCGTCCTTAAACCGACTTTACAGAAAACCATTTTTTTTTCAATAAACTACGAGCTTACTTTGAAAATGTATTTTGAGTACTAGGATTGTATCACGTGTTTACACTATGTGAATAAGACATATTTGTGGACGAGTATGTAAGATATTAAACAAAAAAAAGATGTTAATTTGTTAAGTAATTATTTTAAAGCATTAAGTTGTTTTTTGGCGTTTTCGATCTCTTTTCTATATCTTCTGTAAAATTCTAAAGTATCTAAAAATACATTTATTAAATAATAACATGGCAACATCGCTCATAACTAATGCTAAAACATGTCGAATCCTTCTACAGTTAGATAAAATATTCCTCTTACCTAATGACAGAAGAAACTATACTTTACAATAACCTGCCAAAGCGACTAAAACGAACATACGTATTTTAAAACTAGATAAATAATAACTGTCCAGCCAAGTTTCGTCTACATGGTTTTTACCCGACTTCGGCGAACCCCAAAAGTGGGTTAGGTGTTTGACCTGTATGTGTGTATGACTAAATAACACTATTTTCTTTCATTAACTTGTTCCTTTCTTTTTCATTCGCTTATTACGCAGTCGGGTTTTTAAATTTTTTTACCAACATACAAAAAAAACGTCATGGATGGTAATTAGGGTTTATTTACCTGTTAACATGTTCGAGGTACTGTCCATTGCAGAAGTAAGTGACGAGTATAGCCGTATTGTTGAGGCACTGTATGATCGAGTTCATATAACACGTATTCCCTAAATTTTTTAATCCTGTGAGACCACGGCCCTGAAAAAATTATTGTTACTATTGATCACGTTATTTAACATATAAAATATATAAAAATTTAGTGTTACAAATGAAAACTAAATTTTATGTAACAACAAGATGTGATGGTAGAGTCTATTAAAGGGAGCTCGAACCATCGATAAAATTATCGCTCGATTATAATCGATAAAAAATATTAAAAGAAAAGACAAGTACGAACACCAGTAAAGAAAAGCCATTTGTACCTATTTTTTTAAATTGTAGCGTAGTTTATTTTCATTGCAGATATAAGTTATAAATGTGGCTGAAAACGGTCATTCAAGGACGTGCGTGCAACGTCGCTTAATGCGCCTTTGAGCCTCACTCTGACGGTTTAAGTGCTGAATATTTTTAATTTAAAACTTAGTTATATTTTAAAAAGAAAACTGATTAAAATCGAGTGCTTACTTTGAACTAGGTATAAATAGTTTAAAATATATTTTCACAGTTGATATTACTTTAAAAAAATATTCTTATTTTAGGACTTATTTCGTCCGTCTGTATTTTTTTTTAAATCAAATCAGGTAAAGTGACTCTAGTAATATAATTTACCACTAATTAAATCCTATTAAGTTTACTATTTATAAAGTCGATAATTACCTTTGTTTGTAGGTACTACGTCTTACATAATCTCGGCTTAAATTTTCTCATTTTACGCAAGAATTACATATAAAAAAATGTTATATTACCGTACAATTGGATTTCTGTTACGACTGGGTAAGACTGTGACGTCGATTGTGTAACACAGGATAAATACGTTCAGGATATTGTTGACTTATTAAAAAAAATATTTTGTGATCATTAAAGAAAAAAATAATTAAGGAATGATTTAATATTTCGACATATTTACCGCAGTAGAAAGAGAGCGCGAAAACAAATTGAAAAGAGTCATAACAATCAATCAAAATTATTCATAGGCCGAATACATTATGACCTTAGTCTATATAATATAAAAACCATCTCCATAATATTGTTACAGAAACTTAACAATAAATAAACACTTACTCGCTTGAAGAGCCACACGATGTGATTTTGTGAGTACTTGAGTCTGACCTTCACCTTCAGTACCATGTTGGCCGCGTCCAGCGGTATACATTTTTGTTCGTAACGTAGAATGGTGGAAGCCCCTTTGTTATTATTTAAAAAAAAACCCTATCGATTTCTATATTTTTTTAGATAAACTTATGTGTCTTCATGAATAGATTAAAAACATAAAATTATAAGTTTTAACTTTCTTTCAGAGAGCCTATCAGTTTATTTAATACTAATTGTGTTTTTCGAATTTAAAAAAAAAATAGTTACGCCACAATAGTAGTATTATTATTACACTTATTAAGTATTAAACTTACTTTTTGTTCGTAATATTTTTAGGCTTTTTTAGATATTCTATTCAAAGCCTAGTTTTAAAGTTTAGAAAAGGCTGTCGATGTCAAGGTCGCTGATGTTGTTGTTTTCACCATTGACGTTGTAATTATTTTATTTAGGCAGAAGGAATATTTTATAAGGGATGATTTTTATATTTGGATAGGGGAAACACCAAGACAATGAGCACTATTAGATAAATCATGAATATTGTTGATATTATTGTAGGTAACATTTGTTCGTATGTAGGATACCCACAATTTTTAAACACTTTTTATAAAATATTTTTCACGTGTACGTATTTCATACATCTATTTAGATATAGCAACTGTTTTTTGTTTTGGTCAAGCGGACGAGTTGCCGTGATCATAGTTGTGGTAAAACTGAGGCACGTGTCTAGTGCGGGGTGGCTAGTCAATAGGGTGGGTAGGTAATAGGGTGGATATGATAGTGTGAAAGCATATTACATTGGTTTTATCGGTAAAATAATATTTAATTATTAGAAACTTTATGTTATTTATTTACATTGTCTAACAATGTCTAGAAATCAATAAAACAAAGTAAGCAAATAGATATAAAGCGTACTATTCATTACAAGTTGTAAGTAAATCTTGCCATTGAACATAATATCTTTTTACATAATATGATAAAACTATTGCCTGTCTGTTTGCGCGCTAAAGATAACATTTACCTCTATCTCCCTATATAATTACCATATCCCGGATAAACGAGGGTCATGATTATTTGATACCTATGTTTTTTTTTTAATTTTCCTAATCCTAGTAGACCTAGTATATTAGACACACTACACAGTATACACTGTGTAGGTACTTACTATATAAATATTTAAGAAATAAATTTAGGTACTTTAATAATATTATTTACATCATACTCGATTAACCAATTTCTAAAACCGTTATGTACGGGTATGATACCCTATTGATACGTTCTAGTGGGCATAGTAGTCCGTGCCATGCCCGTTTCCGTGCCTGATACGTTCATAACACGGTCATGGTATGAGACGGTGTAGTGGGCAGACTCCTTAATTAAGGTTTTAGACGTGTCAAAGGCATTATATAGTTGTTACACCTACCCACAAAATAACAAAATTCAAAGAAATCAAAAATGCCACCAAAGTACAATATTTGTTAATTTTAAACATAACTTTTATAATTTTATTCCACATTCAATTTAAAAGTCCTAATTTTGTTTCTTTTTTAGTCTTTGATATTCTTGATATTATTGGGAACATCCTCCTTATAACGTGGTCACTCTACAAAGTTGATAGAGTCGATTCGCAAGTATATCGAGTGGAGGAGTGAAGAAACTGCAGGGCCTAGAAAAACCGTAGTTAGTTATTCTTTGCAGGCACTCCTTGTTTACAGAACGCTCGGTAAATGCTCATCTTTGACATGAACGTGTACACTTTGTGTCTATTTGCGATTTATTACACGCGCCTACCGTATATTTTCTATAAAACCGACTTAAAAAAAAGTATTTTTTTACATTTTTGTGTTTTTTTTTTGAAGGCGGTTTTTCAGTTTTTATTTTACATTGTTAATGTACGTATTAGTATGTAGTAGCAAATTAGGAGGAAGTATTTAAAAAAATCAGTAGATGAAAAAATCAATCTTCCCCTATTTTCTACACTTAGGGGTGGGGTTTTTTACAAATTTAAATAGGACCACTTTGGAATAAACCTCTTTTGATTAAATAAAGAATTTTGCAAATCCGTTTATATACGATGGAGTTACGCCCGAACATGCATAAAAAAAATATTCGTATCCTAATTGAGAACCTCCTCCTTTTTTGAATTCGGTTAGAAATCATATAGCACGAGCTTAAACTTTCAGTAAATACCAAACAGAATGTTTGATATGTTCGCAATGTATGGGACAATAATTATATATCAAAGAGAACAATATGAAATACACTTCCTCCCATTTTCAATATTTTGAAAAAAAATGCGTTTTATTCATAGCATTGTTTTAATCTATAGTAGGTATAGCGTATAAAAATTCAATAATAATAAAATAAGGCTTAAATCTGGGATCATCAATTTTCAAACTAATTTTTAACTCTACTAACCGCGAAAGCGAAGGACCCAAGAAAAAAAAATTATACTTTAACCAAAGCTAAAAAGACCTTCCTAATGTGTTTAAAAAAGTTATAAAAAGCTCAAAACTCAATGCTTTAACGTATAATTTATACAAAACGTATGTATTTCGTATATTAACCTTGTTGGAAAATGTTAGTTAGGAAATGATATAAATAATATGGCACGTTTGCGTGTTCGGCGGGCGTTTACTGGCTGTAGAGGAATTTCTTTCACCATAAGTCTATACCATAGTATGGCACACGTTAAGCCATTAGAGCAATTGGCTTTGTTAATTCACTTTTTATCTTGTAAGTAATTATTTTTTAATCGATGTAATCTTGTAGAAAGAGAAATTGTTTTATCTTTTTAATTAACAAGTTTTTTAAAGGTATAGGTACGGATAAAAGCGACATGTTTGTATGTCCACGACGGGTTTAACCGTTAAAAAAGCTCCTTAATCTAAAGTGATTAAGGAGCTTTTTTGTTGAAATCCAGCCGGGTATAAAGCTAAGAGTGACACAGGGAGGTAGCCCGCTACGGTGGGCGGTGTATTATGGGGGTTGCCCCTGGTACTTCTCTAACAGCAGAGTCGACCGCGGGAGCAACCCCTTGGTTGTGTCGTCTGCAGTGCTTCGACAGACATGCCGTCAGAGCGTCGTGGTTGTGTGCGTAAGCGATCCTGCGACGTCCCGTGAAGACGAGGTTTTGTAGGGTTTTGGTGGGTAGTTCTGGCTTTTTTAACCGATGTGTCTTACATAACTACCTGTATGTATACAGGTAATAAGGTTGTTTTGCTTTGTTTTTTCTTTTTTTTTAAATGTCACACAAATAAAATCAGAGTCCAAATTAAGTAAATAATAGAAGCCAATACAAATAGTACAAATATTTGTGTTGTTCTACATTGTACGACATCGAATGCGAAACACGCGGTGTCCCCACACTTCATTTGTGAGGATTCCGACAAGGCTTAGTTACGGTCAGTTACATATTACTAGTATACACTACTGTGTGTGCCTGATTTTTGAAGTTATATTCTTATGGCACGTTTAGAAAAAAATATGAGAGTAAAATTTTTACGATGCTACGCGCGCATCGTACACCGCACCGACAGCCAAAAAGCAACATGATGAAGTTAGTTGCATTCCTTTTACAAACAGAGAGTTGTGACATACGGGATGGAATCTTTAGCTATTTTTGTTCTGTTACGCCAAAGAAGTATAACTTCTTACGTGCGTACATAAGTATACACATACGTTTTTTGTGGCTACCAATATTTTACTAATACTAGCGTTGCGTAGGTACCTACGCGGATTTTGTTTATAATTTCAAGGGTTTTGATTTTTTTAAGTGGACCCTATTTTTTCCAAAATAAAAGAAGATAGCTGCCAATGAAAGTCCCGTCAAAATCGGACCGTTTTGGAGATTAGCAGTAGCAAACAGACAGACGACAATTTAAAAAAAAATGTTTTTTTTGTTTAAGTACCGTATACACTTCCATATGCGTTTAATAAAAAACTGTTTTATTGAATTTAAAAACAGATACTTCAATTTTATCTATTTGTATAGGTAATGTACTAGCGACTCACCCTCGTTTTACTTGGTAAGCCCTTAGGTGCCCAATAGTAGCCTATGTGTTACTCCAGGTCATATCTGTGTACTAAATTTCATCGTAATTCCTCCAGCCGTTTCAGCGTAAGGAAGATTCGCAATTATAAAGGTAGTATTCTGCGATAAGAAAGTGATTGAAGCCCATAAGTAACTTGCTCCCTTGGTAAGAAAAATACAGTGGGTTCAATTTATTTGATTTAAAGGAAATCAGCAAGGGTCTGAATATCATTGGTGTTTAGTGATTTTGTAACAGATACATAAAAAAAAAACACTGACAACTGACAGATATGTTATTAGTTGACAAGACAGACAATGTGACTTCTCAACTATATTTCGATATCGCTGTATTGGCACGCGTGCACGTGTACGAAATTAGCCAAATTGTAATTGTGTTAAGCTCTTGTTACTGAGTGGATTAAAAATATATACTTCTTGAATTCAGTTACATTTTAAAATAAATAAATTAAATATGTTGGGACATTAACACACAGCACAATCTAGTTCCATGGTAAGCTACGAGTTTAGTGTTATGAATACCGGATAGTTGATATACTACACATATATAACTTTAAATACATACATATTATAAATATAAACAACCATGACTGCAGTGCAAACATTCATACTCATCACACAAATGAATGCCTCCAGCGAGACTCGAACCCGCGACTGCTGGTACAGCAAGTAGGATCACTACAAACTGAGCCAAACGTGTCATCACATTTCACTCCCACTCATATTACATATTGTAATATAATGTAATGTAATAATAAAAAATATATAATTCTATACATAATATATAGGTAATATTTAAAAGTTCCAATCGGAATTCGCTTTGGGAACAAAATATTGAAAACCTGAAGTTTTATGTTTTAAAATGTTAGCAGGTATTTATTTATATAAGGAATAGAAATTCGTAAAATGCCCTACATGTCCAGCTACCCCCGAGAAATAGGGGGACGCAAAGCGTTGAAAAATAGTTTTTTTCAATTTCCGGCTCACTGTTACGTTCTATCGAAAAATGTTTTCCAAAAAAGTTGTAGGTCTAGTAAAAAACTACAACTTTTATACATAACAATATTTACACTAACCTCAAAGTTTTCGAGATATTTGCAAAAAACTCGGTTTTGAACTGTTTCTTGATTTTATATTTTTTATTTCTAGAATAATCTTTTGATTTCCATGAAACTAAGGGAATGTAATCTTCGAAATACATATAATTAATTAAAAAAAATTGAAATGTTTAGCCATTTCCGAGAAAAGTATGTTTTATGGTCTCGAGAGGCTGAACATCACCCCCAACTTCAAGTGGGCGTTTACATTTAAAAAAAAATCGTTCAATTTTCAGATATGGCTCATTCATTTCGTCTTGAACTCTACTTTTTGAAAATATAAAAGCATTGTATGGTCATCTTATAAAAACCCCTAAAAATTTAAAAAAATGGAGAAATCGATAATTTTTACTTTATAAAATACATTTTTTTCAATTATCATTGAAGAAGTGACCAAATTTTTACAAACTGATTACACCAATGTACTTTTCAGGAAAACAACGAAAAAAGTGGTGTCCTTAAGTTTTTAATTTGACGCTTATTGTTTATAGAATGTCGCCGTAAACATTCCAACTTTTCAATTTGATGAGTCGTGAAAATAATAAAAGTTGGAATTCACGGATACACCAGTGATTTTATATTTTTTGCCGTAGAATCTATTTATGATATATTTTGTCGAATTTATCGATATATTATTAGTTTTTGGTTGACTTTAGAGTTAATTTTATTGATTTTTCTGAAAAAATTTAAGGTAATTACAGAAAGAAATGAAATTTAATATCATAGTCTAATCTTGTTTGTTCATTAGTTAAAAATATATTTAAAGAAATTAAGTTGATATTTATATAATTTAGTCATAGTTTTGTTAAAAAATCATAAATCATAAGCTTAGACACAAAATTCGATATCTGCAAGAAATACATTGTAACTCTGAATTGTGGCCATTTAAAAATAAAAATAATTTTCATTCCATAGAGTGCTATTCCAAATTACTTGAATTACAGTGTAGTTCATTGTAAAGGCACCAATAACCATTACGGGAATAACTTTGTTAACTATTTCAACCGATTTTATAAAAGAGAGGTATCCCATTCGAGTATACTTTTTACCTGACTGCGACGAAGCCTAAAGAAGGGTTATGTTTTTGACCTGTATGCATGTATGTATGTCCAATCCTATGTTCCCTCGTATTTACTAAACAGCTTAACCAATTTTAATGTATCATATAACGTTATCATGCGCTATATAAAAATAATTAGAAATCAAAAAGACAGATTTCGGGCGCCAATTTGTGTCTTTAAAATATTTTTTTCTTTTCTTTATTCCTTTTAAAAAAAATGTTTGTAATTTTTCAATTTTTGGACTAAAGTACATCAATTGTATGGCAAAAAATGAGATTTACATGTCTACACGTAACTCCATAGAATATTAATCATAGTAATAATATCATATACTAATTGATTACGTGTGTATGTATGTTTGTGACATACTATTTACAGTTACGAAGTAGGCATGGCGAATGACACGTTTGGTTCAGTTTGTATTGACCCTACTGTGCCAGCGGTCGCGGGTTCGACTCCCGCTGGGGGCATTCATTTGTGTGATGAGCACGAATGTTTGTACTCCAGTCATGGGTGTTTATATTATAATATGTATGTATATAAAGTTATATATGTGTAGTGTCTCAATTATCTAGTATCCATAACACAAGCCTCGTAGCTTACCATTGAACTAGATGGTGCTGTGTGTTAATGTTCCAACATATTAATATATATTAGGTATATATAAAAATATTTTAGGATCATCTACATACTTTGTGATTTAACAAGTCTAATCTCTATAAACGTTTACTTCCCTCGCACTCGTATTAAAGCGACATTCCGTCACTATACATTGGATTAGTTTAATACTTTATAATTAGTTTAATACTTTATAATCTATTGATTATAACACGGCAGCGTTTGTGTTTGGGCCAACTTTACCAATAAATAAAAAGTTTATTAGAATTATTGTTCCGTACTTTTATTTTTGTTTAACAGAATTAAGCTAGTTAATACTATTGCATTATTCATATAATGGTATTGCTTAACGATACAATTGCGTCATCTCTATTATGACGGCGTCACATGCAGTATGACGTACTGACATCACGTCACAGTAACATCATCACATGCGTCATGACACCGTAGAAACCTCTTTCCTTTAGGTAATACTAATGAAAACGTACATAGGCTGCGGAGGGCAGCTATTTATTGTAACGCTTTTTTGCCACCTTCGTAATGTAAAAAAATAGGTACAATTGTCATTTCCTCACTTACTACATCTAAATACATTGATGACATATTACGCTTATGGTAATACGTTAACGTTAATACAGCCGTAGGAAAACACCATCATTTTGTCATCAGTCGTATCATAGTCATTGTATGACGCCGTCGCACACATATACAAATAAAACTATCTTTGCGGATTTTGTTCTCTCATATCAGCATATTTATATAAAGCATCCAAAACATCGAGAATCAAACATCGAAATAAATCCGCGAAAAAAGGCGAAAAGATATTTTTATTTAAAATTGTCAAATATTTGAATAAATTTAATACAGTATTATTATACCTATATTATGTATGTACCTATATGTAAGAGTCACATCTGTACTCACCACATCGCCCCACACAGGCTGGAAGTCCCTGTGGTGCATCTCGTTGGAGGGCGCCATTTTGTTCGGTTTCGTACTACGGTCGAAGGCCGGCGTGTTCGCGTCGTCTTCATCAGATGATAGCTAGAGAAGGAGAGATCTTGAGAGATGTTATCCATACTAATATTATAAATGCGAAAGTAACTCTGTCAAGCAATTAAGGGATATAATGTCATGTCATCATACATATGTATATGTATATAGTTTATCTATTTTATACTAAGTGGCTAATCTATACTGATATTATAAAATGTTAAAGTTTGTGAGTTTGTGAATTTGTGACGTTGAAGGGGGTAATCTCTGGATCTACTGAACCGATTTAGAAAGAAATAAGTAAGAAGAATGTTTTAAGGGCATACATTTTATCCCGAAAACCATCCCTTAAAGGGGTAAAAATGGGGATGAGATTTTGTATTGGGGAGCAAGCTAGGGAAGGTGAGTCGCTAGTATATCTATAATCAAACAGTGTACAAACCTTTGCTATATTGGGCGACGATTGGGAGCGATTGAGTCCGGTGGCCCCGGGGCTGTCTGACGGAGATCCCATGTACGTGTCACCATCTTCTTCCTATTAATTGTTATTTTGAACATTATTTATTTATTTTATTAAATAAGCATATTTCAGTTTTACTAAAACCTTTCGAATGTCACATTAAAGCTTATAATTGGACCCAGTTATGCAAAAAACAGCCATGTGCGTAAAAGTACCAACAGAGTTATAGACATTTTTCTGTCGATAGTTGCACTTGGGTTGTGGTTTTGTTTTTCTGGTTATTTTAAAATTGAAGTATTGTTTATTTGTTACAATTATTTTATTTTTTATAATAAAATGCTTATAACTCTGTTGGTACTTATACGCACATGGCTGGTTTTTGCATAACTGGGTCCAATTTATACAAATTCACACGCTTGCTATGTGAATCGTCGGCCGCATACAAGACGGGCTTACGACTTGCTTAAAGTCGCCGAAGCCCACTGGGTGCGGGTGGCATGAGGCCGGCAGTCGTGAAAGTCTTTGGCCTATATCTAGCAGTGGATGTGTTTAGGCTGAGACGACGAGTAGCGATTTTGGTGGTGAGATAGTGATGTAGTAGTGATGATGGTGGTGTAATAGTGATGTTAACGATGAAGTAATGATGACGGTGGTGTAATAGTGATGTTGATGGTGCACTAATGACGATGGTGGTGTAGTAGGGATGAAGGTGGTGTAATAGGGGTAGCAGTGACCTTGTCCCCGGGCTTGGCGGCGGCGCGCGCGTCGGCGAGGCGGCGCTTGCGCTGCAGCTCGAGCGCCTCGCGCTGGCGGTCCAGCAGGTCGCGGCGCGCGCGCACGGCCGCGATGCGCGCGCGCGCCCGCGCCGCCTCGCGCGCGCCGGCGCGCTCCAGCGCTGCGCACGTGCGACACGCACTTTTATTATTCTTGTATGTCATTTATATTTAAATCTATCTACGTTTTATTGGTTAGTATGGATATGGAACCATACATTTTTCCCAGATAAAAAATAGTCTATGGGCTATTCCAGACTACGATCTATCTCTGTGTCGAATTTCATCCAGATCCGTTCAGCCGTTCCGGCGTGATTGAGTAACTGAATCCATCCAAACTTACGCATTTATAATATTATATTGGGATTATTACTATGATATTTATATAACGAGCAGCAAGTAAAATTAATTGCACAAGGGGAAATACGAAATTCAGTAAACTAAAAATAAATAAAATAAAATTTAAGAACGATTACTAAATGAGAGGAAGTCCATCATATTATTCGCGCATTTATTTCGCTAATCCTACACAGAGAAATTTAAAAAGTACAAATTAGTAAGGCCCATATACAAATTACATAATAAGCGTATTATCAACACGTTTAGTGGGCGTTAAAAATTATCGTGTACATGATTAATACCTTCAGTAATTACAAGACTTACGTCATAAAAAAAGGAAATGTTAAATTTAGTTTTATATATTTTATTTATATGTACATTGAACTATATATTTCTGAAGTATGAAACAATTTTGGAAGTTATACTTTTGGCACGATTAAAAAAAATATTAAAGTAAATTTTTTACGATGCGCGCGCACACCGACAGACAAAAAACGACATGATGAAGTTAGCTGCATTCCTTTTACAAACAGAGAGTTGTGACATACGGGATGAAATCTTTAGCTATTTTTGTTCTGCTACGCTAAAGAAGTATAACTTCTTACGTGCGTACATAAGGACATACACATGTTTTTTTTATTTAATAAATAAATCATAACTCAAGATTAGACTCAGATAGATTTCTACATCTAAAAATTTACCCTCTACAATAATAACATAAAATTAATTTAAACTCACTATCCTTTTGAAATTATCAATAATAATCTATAAGTACAGATAATTAAATTGTAACCAAGCCGAATCTGTACATTAAATATTTATTGGAAAATCTTATTGAAATAAACATTATTATCAACACAGAGGCCAAATCTATAGTTTTTAGAATTTTTGTCTGTCTGTCTGTCTATTACCGCATCACAGAAAAATCACTGGAGGGATTTTGATGAAATTTGGTATGGTGATAGCTGGTTATCCGGATCAATATATGATACTTTTTACCGCGGGAAAATAATTCATTTTTGAGAAAAAATACAAAAACTGCAATTTAAGAGTATACTAATATGTAACCTAAGAATTAGGTTTTTGGTCATCTGAACGCGGGCAATGCTAGTTTGAAATAAAACTCACTCTGCATGTCCGCATCGGGAAGAGACTCCTCTGTTGTCTTAGAGATACTCTCTGCTAACTTCTCCGCCTCTTCCCGCTCTCTTCTTTGATACTCCTCCAGTTGCTCCCGGAGAGATAAGTTCTCTTGTTCCTGTTTAAATAAAGAAATATTTTTTTTTATATATTTAATTCATTTTGTTTGGCCTCTAAAATTGCTAACGCACTAACAATTTTAATTAAAACTAAGCAATAAGGAATATGCGTGTGATTTAAATAAAGGTGATTTTTTTTAATAATCTTTATTGCTTCTGAATTAAGCCTATAACAATATTTTTTGATGTAATTTTGTTTTCATTAAGAAAATAATTATTAAAAAGTGCAAATTTAGGTGGGAAATTCCAAGTAGTTGAAACGCACGCCATTGGTCAGACCGAATATAACGTCAAAGTATTATTATAACAAAGAGATAAGCGATTTTGTCGCTACAAATTGAGTCGTCATTTTTTTATGTGTCAGCATCATACTGTGACGTCACGCCAAGCGCTCGAAACGACGAGCGTTTCAAGTATCCGTATCGGTATGATATTTTTAATTTTTTTATACTAAATTTTAGTTTATTGGACTTGGATTTTTTTACAATTATATATTACAATGTTATCTATTGTATAAAAAATCAAAAAAATATCACGCATATTCTCTATTGACAGTATTCGTTAAAATAATCGATTTAATATAACATCTATACACGAGTAAAATGCAATTTCTCCTAAAAAAATTTTTTTTTGTCTTTTTTTTCTTAGCTTGCTAATTGTAAAACCAAAAAGTAACATTATTTTTTATTTATTTTTTTAAATTGCAATAATGCAATATTACAGTGAAGGTTGGGTAGAAAATGACCATATTCGTCAATTCTTGAATGTTTTCAAAGACGCAAATCTTGAAGTCGTAAAAAAAATACATTGAAACCAAAAAATTAAAGTAATTATTTTAAAAATCAGTACCACCTTAAAAATGTTGAGTGAAAAATTCTTTTTGTATTTCAAAAAATTGACTTTTTTATAAGCTACACATTCTACACTCACCCTAAGCTAAGAAAGAAACATTTTTTCTCTCCATGTGTATGTGTGTTTTGTGTTTGAATACATACACGCGTGTGTATGTACATGTATGTGTGGATATAAAATATAAATATGTTGGGACATTAACATATAGCACCATCTAGTTATCATAGTAAGCTACGAGGCCTGTGTTACGAATATCAGATAGTTGATAATATAACTTAAAATACATACATATTATAAATATAAACACCCATGACTGGAGTACAAACTTCGTGCTCACCAGACAAATGAATGCTCCCAGCGGGACTCGAACCCGAGATCGTTGGCACAGCAAGTAGGGTCACTACAAACTGAGCCAAGCGTGTCATCAAAATATATATGTGTAGAGTGTGTGTATGTGCGTGGTGCTCACCATGTCGTACTGCTTGCTCTCGAGCTGCATGAGCTGCGAGATGATCTCGTGCTCGCGCAGCTGGTACACGGCGCGCATGTCGTCGCGCTGCTCGCACTCGCGCTGCTGCCGCACCTTCTCCCAGTCCTGACACACGACCATGTGTTATTCTATTATTATATATTTACATACGGCTCACACTTGACCGATTATGATTGGCCGAGTGTGAATCGAAAGAAAATAATTGTTAACTGATAGAATAAATTTGTTTAATACCCTACCTTATAAATCCTAATCTTATTTCGTTTTCTTTTATTATTTGTTTAGAGTTTATACTATAATAATTTACATTAGATATTTATTTACTGTAAAGTAAAAACAACTTTACTTTTTTTTCAATTAAAAAATTATATAATGCTTTTTTAATTTTTAAAACAATCTAGTATATACCATATATTCTACTATAATTTAACCAATCTATTTGTTATTATTAAAAAAAAAACTATATTTAAAGATTATATAAACATGAAGAGGTATTGTGGACCTGGATACCTTAGTCATTAGTTTGTATATGCAAATCAAAAGAGTTCAAATAAAAAAAATAATAGCTAAATTCTAATATTTACTTTCCGCCTCCCATTATTAAAGTGACCTTTTTTTTTGCCATACAAATTACATAATGAAAAGTTTCTGATCTTCTATATAAATAAAAATGAGTTCTTATGTTTGTCATCTACGCGTTCCTAAACTATTGATCCGATTGTAATGAAACTCTGGTAGGTCATACTGTATACGCCTGCGAAAGTTCCTGACCCAAAAATGAGAGAGATTTTTTTCTTTGTAAATTTGTCTTTTATGCGTTCCTAAACCATTCAAGCATAGAGACGCAGGACGGTAACTCGCTAGTCTGTCTATAATATAATCTATGTATATAGAAATCAATGTGTGTGTATGTATATGTCCTTACGGACTCTAAAACTACTGGAGCGATTTTGATGAAATTTCCAGGCAATATACAGATTAGCCCAGTGGGTGATTTTGTGAAGTTTGGTAGTGATCAGAAGTTTAAACGCGGGCAAAGCCGCGGGTAATGCTAGTATATGGATAAATTGCAAGGACTTCTAGTACAAAATAAAACAATAACCTGTTCAGCTTCAAGCCTTTGCATTTCGAGTGTGAGTGAAGTATCCGCAATACGTTCTTGTTGATCCAGAATGTTCTGCATACTTTTCGCTCTCTCTTCGTACAGCTGCAACGCTGCAGTCTACGACAATTGTGTTAAATTATTTATTTATTAAAATTTAATATAAACAAATTTAGTGGTGGAACTAAAGACTCACCCTCGCTTCGCTCGGGTTCGTTCCATTTTTTTGAGCGGAACCCTAATTTTTTATCTAAAATAAAAGTAGCCTATGTTACTTCCTTTTTTTTAACGTTGGGAAATGCATTTACGCACGAGGTGTGGGACTCACCGGCAAAGCCAGTACTACCCACTAAAACCCAACAAAGCCTTCCCCCGTCTTAATGGGGCGTCGCAGGATCGCTTACGCATTCAACTACGACGCCCCGACGGCAGGTCTGCCGAAGCAGACCACGACAACCACGGGATTGCTCCAAGGTCCACTCTGCTATCAGAGAAGTACCAGGAGCAACCCGCATGTACACCGCCCACCGAAGAGGGCCGCCTCCCACCGCCCACCGGAGTGGGCCACCTTCCTGTGCGTTTCTTGGCTTCGCGCCCGGCTGTATTGCCGGGCACTTCTGAGCCCCCCCCCCCACCACGACAAGGTGAACGCACGTTGGGGGGGGAGCCTATGTTACTTCCTATAACATTAGCTATCTTCCAGTGAAAGTCCCGTCAAAATCAGTCCAGTCGTTTCAGAGATTATCCGGAACAAGCAGACAGACAAAAATTAAAAAGAAAAGTGTTTTTCTTATAAGTACTGTATATAATTTTATATACATTTAGTAAAACGCTGTTATTTTGATATTACAAACAGACAATTCAATATTATTTATCTGTATAGATTTGTCATCATAAAACAAGTCACAATATTATATAATGTTGAGTGTTTAAGAGTATAGCCAATATCAAATCACCGTTTTTTTAATTTATGTTTATTTGTTCAAGTATCATATATTTTCTAGCAGAGCACATTATATACTCGGCGATGATTGTTTGGAACAAAAAAAAAATTAACAATATATATTATGTGTATAGTATTATTTATTCTAATCTAACTACAGAATCGTCTAGAGATACAAACAAGGCACATATCTACTAAGTTTACAACAGAATCGCTCTAAGTCTCTCAGGCAAATGACTGTGTTATACAGACATGAGACAGACAAATCATATACATACATATCAAATTATAAGGGTTCTGTTTAAACCATTTGGCTACGAAACCTCAATAAAATATACACATATGTCAGTCACTCACTTTACTACTCCTATCCACCATGGGCTCCACGGGCTTGTTCACTCTATTGCTGGAGACGGGCGGAGGACTCAGGTCCGAAAAGTTTGGATAATCTATACCACCTAATAAAATATTTAATATTAATAAATGTAATGTTTTATTTATTTTGTTTCTTTTAATTATTTAATTTAACGAAAGTTCAAAAAACACTTTTTATTATATATTGCAATGACTAAATGAAAGTTATGAAGTTATTGTTTTATTATTTTAGTCTAGCAAATAAACAAACAGCAAATATAGTAATAAAGTATAATTTTAGAATTGAAAAAGTTACTGTTATATGTTATGAGTATAATCATATGTTACGTACAATCCACAAAGCAGTTTAGGAGATGTGTTCAAGAAAAAGCCATACATATGACCATAATTATTAATATAAATTTAATTTAAAAATATCATTCTTTTAAAAAACCTTATGACTAGTACATAAGGTTGAATTTTGTTTATTACCTAACATAATATCATCTAGCGAGCTCTCCTGCGACGGCGGCACCGCCTGCGGGTTGGTCGTGAAGGCTGGGTACTTCAGCAGCCAGTCCTCGTACCCCCCGCACAGAGCTAGGGGTTGCCTTGAATATTGCACTTTTACATCCCACTGAAAGGAAAAACAATTATTTTTATATAGATTTTGAATAGATTTTTATATATAATAATATTCTATAAGCTGTCATAGGATTACCTTTTATACAATTTAAAGGTAAAATAAAAAATATTTTACTAAAAAAAAGCATATTACTCTGTTCGAGTATTTGTTGTAGATGGAAATGTGTGGAATTGAGAAATATTGACTCATATGCGGGCTAGCTGTAATGTTACGCTGATCAAATAAAAAAAATGTATCTTAAAGGAGCTAGTGTTAGTTTCTCGCCCACTCTTCTCAACAGAACCGCTTTAAATTATACCGCAGACGCTCTTTAAATTATATTGACTATTTATAAAAGTTGCTTAGTTTGCTTATAATAAGTCTAATTGAATAAAGTTTAATTTTATATCATTTCTTTATAAACAAGCAACTTACCCTGACTTCGCTCAAGTGCATCCCTACTCCCTAGGTACCTAACTGCAGCCTATGTGTTATTCCAAGTCATACTCTTTATATGTATGTACTATAATGATGAATGGAGGACAAACAAACATACATATATAAATTGTTGCTTTTGTAATAAAGTTCACGTCACTTCTCACAGCTCCTAAATACACCGGGTACATTTTTTACTATTTCCTTCTAATACATTCTGTACCAATAAGTCACTCTGGTATAGGCGCTCTGGAAAACCAAGTGAAGCGAGTTCAAATCACACCTCTGATATTTTCATGTGTATATTATTTTCATTATTATGTTTACAACTTGTCTGACGGTGAAAAGAAACATCGCGAAGGAACCTGCATATCTGAGAGACACCTACTAGTTTTCAAAATACATGTGAAGTCTACTAACCCACACTTAACTAGTGCGATGAAGTATGGCCTGATCCCTCCAATCTTCAAAGCGGGGAAGACCTAAGACCTAGCAGTGGGAAAAGGGCTAACTAAATAAGAAGAAAATGTGTACCTTAAGCAATATAGTCTTCAACAAATGTAACGTCTTCCCAGGTATCACAGCCGAGCTGCTCCAGTCCAACATCACTATGAGGTCCATAGAGGCTCGCTCGGCCCACACCGGTCGGGAGGCCGCCGGTAGATTGTTTTCTAGAACATTCGCTGACTGTCTGCAAATATTATGTAGAATTGAAATTATCTTATGAATAACTGGATACTAATCTTGTTTTCACTTCGGCCATCGCTATTACCTCCTATCCCACAAAACCATAATTATTCTAATATAAAAAGTAGATATTATCCGAGTGCAGGACCGAGAAACCCTACCATTTTCTTTGTAGGCCGATGTTCAATGATGCATAATAATACAATGAAAATCAGCTGGTTATATATAAATATGACGTTGTTATTTTAACAAGTTCGGAGAGGGGGATGATTTGATCCAAACCATTTGTTTTGTAGGACATATTTGAAATGTAAACTTGTATAAGCAGGTTTGGATGGGGAGTAAATTCATGTAAGTCGTCATCGACATGGTCATGTGACGTGTTAACGTTAACGCTCGGAGTGCCGATAGGTGTCAAAACCATATAAAGGTAAACAGTTTTAATTTACCAATTTTAATTTAAAATCAAACAATTAATTTGAATATGCAAAAATAACAACAGTTTGTTTATAATTTTAAGTTTTCACTTTTGTCGGCATTCTTCAAGACTGCTTTTTTTTTCTTGTTTTACGTTGGATTATCTAAAGATTAAATTGTAAAACAGCCTGTTAATAATACCTTTAAACAAACATTTTTTAACATGTCCCGTATCAAACCAATTGTATCTACCACTATCAAATTTTCGTAGAAAGAAAAGTTGGGCGTCTCTTCAAAACAAAGCTACTCGTGAAGTTTCAACATGTTATTAATTTAGAAAAACCCGTGGTGTACTGTAGACTATATAGTAGAGATGTGCTAAATAGAAGTACATAGGTATATGGATAAATTGCAAGGACTTCAGTCTGACCGTAGGAACTGTATCGCACCTTGATGATTTCCTGCGATATTGATTAATAAAATTGTAATACTTTTGAGTCGAATGTGTACATTAGTATTTTTTTGGAAAATCTTATAGAAATAGTCATTATTATCAATACAGAGGCCGAATCTATAGTTTTTAGAATTCTTGTCTGTCTGTCTGGGAACGCATCACGAGAAAACCACTGAACAGATTTTGATGAAATTCAGTATGATGATAGCTGCTTATCCGAATCAAAATATAGGATACTTTTTACTGCCAGAAAATATCTGAGAAATCTATACTAAACGTTAAAACGTAACTAGGGACGAATCCGAGCAGAGCAAGTGTGAGTCGCTAGTAATTATTATATTTATTATTTCATCATCTGTTTTCTTTTATGAAAATATTTGGCGAAATTATGACAAATTTCAAAATGACAGCTTTTAGAGATAACTCACTATCTTGGGAAATTTTATCTGTTGAATAACTATGTACGGATAGATTATTGCTTAGATTGTATATGTATCGATTTATTATTTACAATTCATTTATGTGTACCTATTAAAATTCGAGTACACCTTCTATTTTATTTATAAAAACTTACTCCTCCACCTAAAAGTTGTCCGGAAGAGGTCGCTCTTGGCGACAAGGCCTCCTTCTTTACATATTATTTGTAGAAGACTGAAATCTCTATATTACTTTCATATATTATTCTATGCAGTATTACTAAGGATTAATAATATCCAGACTTGACAAATTTTTCTTCAACTTAATTCACAAAATATATTTTCATAATTCTTACTGGTAATTTTTTTTTAACAAAATGTTTTTAAATAATAGCTTATATTCAACCTTCTTAAATAATACCTTTTTTCATTGGTGAAAATCATATTAGCCCGAACAAACCCAAGCTCAAAGGGGTGTGCGATTAAATAATTCAAAATACGCACTGATTAAGTACTATACATACCCAGGCGATATACACTCTTCGGGCACACTGATACAAGCCGGATGGTTGATATGGGATTCGACATAGTCTTTCCCTGGACGTGCATCCATTATCATCACTTTCAATTTGCTGCTCTTCAATATTGTATACAGCTGTTCACTTTTAATTGTCACTTCATCGGGATCTGTTATAAAAGAATAATCCCATTAATATTATAAATGCGAAAGTTTGGATGGAATTTTACTCAATCACGCCAGAACGGCTGAACAGATCTGGGTGAAATTTGGGATAAAGATAGATTATAATCTGGATTATTAAATACAAAGGCTATTTTGTATCTCGGGAAAATGTACGTTACCCGTGGAATAGATTTGTTTGTTTTTCACTAGGGACGTAACCGATCGAAGCGAGTGTCAATGAGTGTGTTTGTTTTTGCTACTTCTTTTAATTGTAACAGCTTAACAATTTTGAAAAAAAAAAAAATAATAGAATAAAGATAACTACGTATATCTTATATATTATAAGATAACACATACACTACTGTTTATCTATCTACCTACCAGTGGCAAAGGGTCCATACAAAACGTCTTACCTTAAATGTTTTTTGCTATAATTTTTCATACATTTAATAATGTATAAATGTTCTTTTGGAAATATATATTATATAATAATAGCTTTATTTCTTTGTGGATTAACACATATATAAAAATTGAATATTTTTGGAACGGCTCACCTCTGCTACCCTTTGCCACTGCTACCTACCACATCGGCAGAGCATATAACACATAATCAAATATGTAGACATCTTTAGAATATTAATTTTTGTTATGAAGATCAATAGAATCAATAAAAGTTATTTTTATTTATATGTACATGTTTCCAATGTTGCCATCGATTAAAAATGATATAAATATCTTTTAACCTTTAGTTAATAATAGCGACTTACCCTAGCGACGCTCGGGTGGGTCCCTAGGTGCGTTTTAAATTTTTTTGAGCTGAACTCTTAATTCTTTTTTAAAAATACAAGTAGTCTATTAGACTTAAAGTTACTCCTTATAACATTAGCTATCTGCCAGTAAAATTCTCGTCAAAAACTGTCTAGCCGTTTCGGAGATTAGCCAGAACAAAAAGGCAGACAGACAGACAAAAATCTTAAAAATTGAGTTTTTCGTATGTATCTTATCATAAACTGTATATAATTTCATATGCATTTAGTAAAAAGCTGTTATTTTGATATTAAACACAGACACTTCAATTTTAATTATCTATATAAATGATAACATGCTATGCCCTTTAAAGTAAACTTTAATAGAACATACATATGTAGTTTATAGTGTTATAAAATAAAATGGTTGAACATACAACGCACTATGCATATATGTGGCTTCTCTACCTAGATAATCATATTTATGTTACTTTGTTAGTTATAAATGCTCATCAATATTTTCTTAACTTTACATAATAAAATATTACCTTCCATTTTTATACTCTTTTTCCATAGATAAACAAAAAAATTAGGCAATTTAACACATTTTTTTCAGAAAAGATAAGAAAATTATATTTTTTTTAACCAAAACCATAAGTTATAATCGAAATACAAAATTTATCCAAATACAGTTAAGAGCCATTTCCAAGATAAAAAAATAAAGTTTTAAATTTAAATATACAAGAATTGCTCATTTAATATTGTACAATTTAGTACTGTACTTTAATACCAAATATAAGGAGCTAAAATTATCACTATGTATTTCATATAATTTTCAATCAATAACTCTACTGTAGAGATTTATAAAATAAAAATTTTACATAAATTATTTTATGTTGATATATTATATTTAATTATACCTGGAAGTCCAAGAGGTTGTGGATCATTCACAGTAATATTTTCTATAGCTTTCTTTCGGTTTTCATCGATTTTCTTTTTAATCATTTCATGTTCTTTTATATCCTGTAAGCGTTGATGTTCTTCTTCTTTTTTGTATCTAAAAATATATTTACAAATAATAAAATTAAGAAATAAATTAAAATGTAATTAAATTAATAACTATTTTCATTACTTAAATTACTATTTTCATTACTTTTCTTACCTCATAATTAAACTATTTTTTAACTTCTCAGCAGCATCTAAGGCTTTGTTTGGATTTTTTATACCAAGCATATTATTGAAATAATTTTTGTCTTTCAAATAGTCCTTATCTTTGCTAATATATGCAACTATCCGAAGGTATTTCATATATTGTACATAAGAATATTCCTCATCACCCTTTTCCCGGGCCTCTTCAGCAGCCTCAAAGAGCTTTTGTGCCGTTTTGCATAACCTGTACCAAAAAGACATTTAATCATGTCATAACATTCTGTCTCGGTTAAAATGTATATCAGACATTAGAAATACTTACATAGTGGCTCTCTTCGATTTTAAATCAGGTACATTGTGTAATTTGTCCAAATCTTCTATGCACTTCCCCAGATGGAGTTGTAAACGACGCGTCTCTGTCATTTTGTAATACGATTCGCAATCACTGCACTATGTAAAGAAATTTGAAAATATGGAAGTCCCTAGGACCTTACTGATTACATTTGGTATTAAAACAGAAAAAATGTTTCCGAATTACATCAGGAAAAATAAAAAAGTTGTGAATACAAATAACTCTCCTGAAAACGTCACAGTTTTTACGTTTTTGTCAGTTCACTTGTCATTTTGTCAATATTATTGTCTATGGTTACTATTCATTCAATCTTATTTTGCGTTTTGATTCACGCATTAAGCTCTTCTCTTACATAAATTTTCTAACTTTACTTAATATATACCATACATTGAAATATTCTAACTTTATTAATTTTAAGTAAATTAAAATGTATTAAATCAGTTAAATAATCGAAAACATATTTTTTTTTGTAAAAAATGACACAGAATAATCTGACATACGATAGATGTATAGCTATATGCTATGGTAACTTGCAAAACAGCGCAAGCTGCGCAAGTTTTCATGCGCAATGAAAACTTCCTCGATTCTCCTGGTCGATTGCGGTGTTCCATTTAGTTTTTCAGCTGATCACGCTTTCCACGGGCGCCTTTCAGTCGCGTGTGTCATGTGCGAAACTGTCGCAGCGTAGTAAGACGAGTGCCTGTGTACTGTGTAGTTGCTAGCTAGTGGCAGTGAAAATGTTTTCAGGACTTACTAATCAGGTCAGTTCTTGGATGGGAGCGGCTAAGGGCGAGCCCCAGGATGAAGAAGTGCCGACTCCCACAAAAGAAGCGACAGTTGAAGCTACAGCGGAGGGCGAAAAACAAAGGTTTCTTGTTTCTTTTGTTTACATATTTCTTTTGATAATTTTAGTCTAAATTATTTCTAGATTTAAAAACTAAGCCTGCGGCAACTTTCTAGACCCATTTTATCTTTTAGTAATATTTAGGAGAAATATTTATATACTTTATTTGTGTAATACTGTTGAAAATTAAAATTAAAGAATCGCAGTTTTGCGCAGTCCAATATAATATGCCTTTCACACATCGGCGCGGTATTTAAAATTTTGTGGGTTGTAAATTCTGGTTGTTGCATAATATACTTATTGATCCAGCATAGGTAATGTAAATTATGATATTTAGGTCAAGTGTTACAATGTCTGACTCATTGCCAAGTAATATTACAAATAAAAGGCTATATTTCAAGGGGTTGGAATATATTAGATGAATTTCATATAGGAATAAAATTACTATTACTATGGATAAAAATATATTTTTTTATATAATAATTTATTTGCAGTCCAACTAAAGGTGGCAAGCTGGATCTTATAACAAATGTGAAGTCACAGATGACTGGGTGGCTTGGATCAGGGATTCCAATTCCTGGACTTAGAAAAAATGAGGCAGGATCTTCTGATGTACCTGAACCTGCTGCTGAGCCAGTAGAAGCTGTGGAACCCAAACCTGAAGCCAAAGATGATGATGATAACTCTAGGTATAATAGGTACGAGGGGTTGACAGAAGCAATGAGTTGGCTTATGCAATTGTTAAAAAGATATGGTGTGTCATTTCTAATCCAATTGGAATTTATATTTTAATTTGTATGTACAAAAGTAACCATAATTATTTTCTCTTATTCTGTTATGTAATGTTTTGGGATAAGAAATTGCATACCAATATAAATTTAATTTTTATTGTTTTATGAATCTTAAAATATGAATCTGTTAATTTAACAAAATCAGCACAAAAAATTTAGTATAGCAAAAAATTGTGTAAAATTGGAGCTTTTTATCATAAATTTTTATTATTTTCTCAGCTTTTGGCACATTTGGCATCTTAACTCTTGATTGGCACACCCAAAATTTTCTCTACTGTTACATAATCTTTTAAAGTCTGATGTTCAGGCAGGTCTCTCATAAATAATATCTTCATTAATGTTTGTCAAATACAATAGTGTACAATTTAAATGAAGAATTTAAATAAATTTAAATATTATTAAAATTTCACACACAAAAAATCATTATTAACATCCTTTCTAATAGTTAATGCAACTAGAAACGTTGAATTTGTTTTTAAGTTTTAATTTTATTAGATTTTGAATAGATCACACCAATAGAGTGAACTCATTTATTCTGCTCAATCCCCATTTTTAATCATTTTGGTGCATTTTATATTATAATATTTTTTCTACAATATAAGAGCATTGCATCATTTTGAAATAGGCATAGATGAGATTGTATTAGTTAATTATATTGATAATTAAATAAGTTATCTAGACTATACTTTTATTTTAAAATTAAAACAAATGCTTCCTTTTTTTTAATATATGCATTGCCCTAATATTTCTGTGTAATGTCTGTCATATTTTCTATTAAATATTGTTTCAATACATTGTTGTGGGCTTATTTATGTGCTTAAAAAATATATCATGGAATTAAAAAATATATATTATAAAACTGGTGGCATCTTCTCAATGAAATATTTGTTAACTCAAATGAAATTCCACTCACTATTTTGTATTAGTTTTTAGGAGTGTTACATAACTCAGGCATGTTCATGGACTGATGCGATTTCATGCTACTTCATACCTTTAAATATACATAAATATACAACAGCTTATCAAGAAATTATAATCTACAAAAGTCTGAGTCATTTTCAATTGAATATTGTAATCTTTATTAGTTTTAAATGAAGTTTCATGTCGTAAGTCATTTTGTAATTTTTTTATGCAAATAATTGTAAAGACACTGTCAGTTCTTGTATTGTAGTTTCATTTAGAATTTAGAATTTAAAGGTGGAGGAGTTTCAACACATTTAGCACAAAGTAAATGTAGGAGACGGGTGGATATGTTTCGATTTTTTTCTCCATATTACCATTGTACATTGTACAATGTTTTTTTGATGATTTCACTATAAAATTCGTAATAATTATTCCTATAATGGTGTTTGGTTAACAGTGCAACGGGTGGAGCGGATAGTAGGCCCGCGTCGACCGGCGGCACACCCACCGAAGATCAGCCTGCTGGAGTTGGTAACGGTAAGTTTTATATCTTGTCTATTAATCGCGGTTCCCAAATCGTAGTCCGCGGAACCCTAGGGCTCCGTGGAAGGGTCACAGGGGTTCCGAGTTCCGTCCGCGATCTAAACAAAACTTTGTTGGACATGAAACTTAATTTCAGTGCTATTAAAAACTAAATATGTCCAAAAATTTCATTCAACAAATTAAATAGTTGTGTTATATTTTTGGTACAATGAATATTATTATGTATAAGTATGTATTCATATTTTTCATTTGTAATTTGTTCTTTCAAATCAAACAAGAAAGTATTATAACTACAAAACGATCAGTTATTATCAAAATGGGGATACGTTAATTTATTTTGATCGATTGGGGTTCCGTGGCCAAAAAAAATTGGGTACCGCTTAACTAATTCGTATAGTCGTCTTAACGAAGGCGTTTAGATAGGGCTACCGGCTATCGTGTGGGGCGTGTCAGACGAGACGAGACGCGGGTGAGGCGCACCCGATTATCATACTTTTGTATGCCAGTCGGGAAACGCCTTAAGGGCTGACAGGTATAACTGTAACTTATCACGAGATGGTACTACGGTGGTGTTTTACCTTCGAAGCGTTCGCCACGAAAATTGGTCTTTTTTTTACTACAAGGGTAGTCAAAAAATACCAATGTAATGCAATGGCATTTGACAGTATTTTCGTAAAAAAAACTATAAGTGGTTGCTTTCTGTATGTATTTTTATATACTGGACTTACCATATTTGCTATTATTAATTTGTACGTTAAAAATGACGATATTGATTTGCTTGTATAAATCTAAATTAATAATATATATATATTGTTTATTTGTAGTAACTTTATCAGTTTTAACATTCGAAAACGGGAAGATGTTTCGAATTGTCCTATAACTAGAAAACTGCCCTGAGTAGAAATTTTAATAACATTGCGACACTAGAACCAAGTTTATACCTTCTAGTGAGGAAGAATTATAAATATATTACGAATTCTTACTTATTAAATACATAGTACTTGTTTTAGTTTTGAATTGTGCTTAAAACTCATTCTAGACCATTGAGCAATATGGAAGATTCTCGAAATGAGTTGTCGTATCGTTTGAACGTATTAAATACAGTTATTGCTTGTTTCGTGTAGCACTTTTTGTTTATTACGTACAGTATTTTATAGGTGTGTTGTTGCTTTATTAGAAGTACTAAATATATTTTGAAGTTTGATTTTTTTTTGAGCTAGACCTTAAAATATATCCTTGATAGTAAATATGTTAGTTTTTAAATTTTAATTGTACATTTTTATAGATATCCTTCTATGATAACATTTAACTTCCTAGCATTATGTTAGTAAAATTCTTGATATACCTACAACTACATATTTAGTTAAAAAATCCGACTTCAAAATCAGTGTAAAAGCAATTATTGCATACTTGGAGGTGGATTTAAAAAGAAGGAATCATGAAAATTGGTTTATAAATGGCGAACACGCCCGAATCCAAATAGAGTATATCTCTACTTTTGAAGTCGGTCAAAGACATAATTTTGTTTTCAAGTTATTTTAAATGATAGAGTTCAGATGAAGCTTTCAAAAAATCAGTTAAATTAATATTTCATGAATCCTTTTTTATCATTTTTATTAGTTATACCTTGTAGGCTCACTTTTTATTTTTTTTATTTTTTTGTAGATGCTAGATTTTATATTTTTATTTTGTTATGCACATTTCCAGGTCAACAGAATAAAAAGTTGTTCACAGTAGATGCCATCGAAGTGCCAGACATGCAAGAGTGTTAGTATTTTTTTTTTTAATAGTAAGTCTACTTCTAATTCTTTGGCTTGGCTTTATCTAGCATGAAGATGTTGGTAATTTTTCTTTGCAAACTCGCTTTTCCCAGTAATACGTTGTGAACTTTAAAGTGCTCGTATATCAAGATTTTTTCTGAGAGTCTCTTTAGCAGTCAAAATGGCGGACTAAAGTAACGAGCAAGGTCTTCACTGGGAATGTGTTGTGTTGTTAACGTTTTTTAATATTCAGTAACATTCGTTTTAATTTTTCCTTAAGGTTAAGTCAAAGTGATATTTTGTTACTGGTTTTGAATTATGTACATATAATAAAATTCATAAAAAATACGACGCACCAAGAAATTTTACTAATTTATACTACCTACATATTTAACAATTTTTTTTGATATATAATGTCTTCGTTCTGTAATGTCCTCGTAGGGATGTTCAAAATAAGTTTGCTTTCTATACATTGTACAATTTGTCAGTTTTAGACTAGGTTTCAGACGTGTCAGTCTCAAAGTGCGTATAACATTTTATCAAAAAGTAACGCCATTTTCCCATACGCCACTGAATACGGCAACAATTTTTCTTGCGTGATGGCAACCATTTTTTCTTTCTACCAACATTATGAAAGGTGCGAATGTATACTTTATTAGTTTTTTTTCCGAAAAATATTCTTGAATATTATGACGTAATAAATGTGTAAATATGCAAAATGCACATAAGCCTCGAAAGCTTACGCTTGATACACATTTATTTGATACTTTTCGTTATACTTTAAATCGGGGAAAAATATTTTGCTTTTATTAGAAAGTACAAATGAATTACATCCTAAATATTTTCGAAATTGTGTTATAAAGAGCATAAATGTATGATCTATACATATAATAAAATTCTGAGGCGAATCAGTACATTAAATATTTTTGAAAAATCTTATAAAAATAGTCATTATTATCGATACAGACAGAGGCCGAATCTATAGTTTTTACAATTTTTGTTTGTTTGTCTGTCTGATCGCATCACGAGAGAACTACTGGGCAGATTTTGATGAAATTTGGTATGATGATAGCTGGTTATCCGGGTCAACATATAGAATACTTTTTACTGCGGGAAAATATCTTATGTCTGAGAAATCGATACTAACCGTTAAAACGTAGATAACGGAGCGAGGGTAAGTCGCTAGTACAGACTAATTTTCCAATAATTCTGAAAAAAATGATAAAGCGCTTTCAGAATCTCCATTCAACTTGGCTTGTCGACTTGCCAAGTAGGATATTGGAGAAATCATGAATTAGGTATTTATTTTATACACTCATTTACATAATACTAATGTACATTTATCCATATCTTGATAACTAAATTGGTATTCTGTGCCTGCTTATTCATGAAAGGCTATGGGAAAATGCCAAATTACTTGGCCCCTATCATCTTAAATTGACATAATTTTATGATGTAGTAGGCAATTAACTTTAAAGCTTTCATGCCAAGTCCAGTTATAATATTTAGGAAAATCAGCCTTCATAATTTTTTCCACTATTTTAAATCTCCTTTTATCTCTTGGATAATGTAGGTCATCGTATTGATCTTAAATTCTGTGATGCCTTCAATACGCTTTTGGTATTACACAATGTCCATTTGAATTTTTATTATTAACTAACGACTCTACGTCGCTTCGCTCGGGTTCGTCCATAGGTACGTTTTAAAGGTTAGTATGGAATAGACTATATATTATTTTTTCCAATTTAACCTTGAAGCATTGTTGTAGATGGTAGGTCGCAACTATTGAATGTAATCCGAAGTAGTGATTCAAATACATAATAAACAATTTTGACCTTTTCGATTGTCCAGCTGTTCTTATGGGTTTCCCTTATTTTTTTATACTTAAACCACCTCTGACACGCCCCCAATAAAACAAAAAAAGATCTATTCAAATCGGTCCAGCCATTTTTGAGTTTTAGCTAGACTGACGAACGGCAATTGATTTTTATAGTATATATACATTTCCATTGAAGTTTAGTTATTACAAGACGATTATGATGAATAATAAGATTATGATGTAATTTTTATAATCGATATCGTTAATAGAAACCTAAAAATATATATTAATAGATAATTCCCATATTACATATTTTTTAGCTTTCTTTAATACCAAATATAGCACGCCAAGTATAACGTTTATTTCATCTGTTTTATTTTTATTTATATAATACTTGGCTAACTGAAGGCGATTTTGATTAGCTTACACACGTTTTTTTGACTTGGCAGTGACCACAAAGGCAGTGGCCGGTGCCAAGTCGCTTGGCAACTTCCTCTACTCTGCGGTGAACAAAGCCGGCGCTAAAGTGAGCGAAGCCAGTGCCAAGATAAAGAAGACCGTCGAAGAAAACGTGAGTAGTAGATTAAGTATAATATGTATAATAGGTCAGAAGAAAGTATGAAGTAAACTTTGAAGTTAATACTGACATTAAATTTGACTGATTTACTGATTTGGCGTTTTGGGGTCAGTTATTTTAAATTATTACTGAGAAAAGGAGGCAAGTAACGTAACACTTGTTCTTAGAGTAGGAGTTGGCACAACATTCATTTTAATAAAAATCCTACTTCTAACTGTGAGATTAAAATAGATTTCGAAGTTGGTATACCTTTTTAATTAAAATATATTCGTTGTCCGTGTTCATCTAACCAATGGTAAACATAAATCTATATCTATATGTATATAATAAAAGTGTAACTGATCGCTGTTTGTACATGGAAAATATTTGAGAAAAACTAATATTGAGGGTCTTTATTAACGCCATGGAACCCAAAACAATGATTTTTAGAATTTTGTCTGTTCGTCTGTGCGTTTGTGCGCGATATTCTCAAAAACGGCTTGACCGATTGATTGTGTGGTTTTCACTAATGTATTGTGGTAAGCTTCACTTAACATTTAATATTTGTTGTATTTCAATCGATCCATAAATAAAAAAAGATATGTCAATTTAAAGAATCACCTAGGGACCAACCCGCACGAAGCGAGTCGCTCGTCTACAATATATTCTCTTGGGTATGTAGTGATAGCAATGATATTTTATTGAGAATTCAACTAAGATTTATTAGATATAAGAATTAAAATAATTCATATTGCCCTCATAAATTATATTGATTAGACTCTTAAATACACACGTATTACATACATATACAGATAGTTCTATTAAAACAAATAGGTTTTAAAAGAAATTTTGACATAGTTTTTAGTATGTAATGAGAGCTGCATTTACGTCAACATTTTATCTACATTCTAATTTCTACAGTATGTTTTGTCAGAAATAATATGATAACGTGTTAATAATATATCCATATGACCTTAGTCATTCTATGTATTATCTAAATGAAGTTACGTATTGATCTGCATTGGATAACATGGCGGACGTTAATATGTTGCCAACGAGAAAGCATTTGTTTAAATCAAGATTATCCTAAAACTTATTATAATTAATATATTATAATAGCAGTATGACATTCACATACTTTATACATATAGAATAACAGCTATGTGTTATGGATAACTACCATCAACTTGGCGGATTTCACATGTCTTTCGAAAACTTGCTTGTTTCTCTCAGACACGCAGGTTTCATCACGATCTCTTGCTTTACCGTAAGCCAAGTGGTAACCATTTTGGGAATGATTCGTACATGAAAATATAAGAAGTGCGAGACCTGGGATATGAACCCGCTTCACTCGATTTTCCATGCAAGCGCCTTACCTTTTAGCTTTTACATTTAGTACAAGTATTTAGTAATTCAGATCAAAGCCATGGAACTGCGAAGTCTGAAATTCACGAGAGCGAAATAAATAAAATTGTTTATTTTCGAGACCTAGATTGGACCTAGGCAGGAAATTGGATTGACACTTATACTTACTTTCGTAGTCAATGAGAGTGTATAATGTGTTTTTACTCTTTATTCGTAAAATTTTAAATAATAATTCGTAATGTATTTCTCACACGAGTTTATATATAAACACTAAGAGGTAAAAAAAGGTACTTAGTATCTATGTTATAATTTAATCTAAAATGCTAACAGCCCGCAAGCTTAATGGATGCCACCCGCAACTAACACATTACAGTGCATTAGAGTTAGGAAAATTAATAAATAAATAAATAAAATAGCCTTTATTACTGAGAATATTACACATTATGTAGACATTTTATATAGGTATTAGGTACTAGTTCTTAAACATTTAAAAAATAAAAATAAAAAGTAAAAAAATAACCGCTACTTATATTAAAATATCTCTTATCTCAGTTTGCCTCTTGACAAAGGCCTCCTCTAACTCTCTCCATTGGATCCTGTCCCTTGTTACTTTTCTCAGTGTTAGGAAAATTATTACAATACAATACTGAGCTGTTCAGCGTTCTTGTATACAGGTGGTATGTGTAAATGCATTTCCCAACATTAAAAAAATAAGAGAAAAGAAAAAAATGTATGCCCTTGTGCCTTATATGGCGTAAAATCTTCGTTCATGCATTTTAAACTATCTGTCGGTGAATTAAAAACAAAAAAACACATCGTTATGTCAATAATTTCTATCAATGATTTATAAATGTGACTATAATTGATTTATAAATTCATATTTTTGTGTAGTTTTGGCCATTACTACTAGGAACTCGCAAGTTAATATATAAGCACTATGAGTAATAAAGTTAGCTTCTACGTTATAATTTAATCTAAAATGCTAACAGCCTGCGAGCTTAATGGATGCCACCCACAACTAATATATTACAGTGCATTAAAGTAGGGAAAATAATTATAATACAGTATGTAGTGAGGTTCTAGCATATTACCTAAATTATGTAAAAGTATTTTTGAAAAATCATACACTTTATTCTTATGTAGGTACAATACATTGCTCTTTTATTGTTATCAAATAATCGTTTCAGTAATTCTTGAGATTGTCGCCTACATAAAAGTTTATCTTTGCCTTTCGGCTATAGAAAAAAAAATACATATCTCTACGAAGTTTCAGTAGGCTGTGTTTTGATCATTGATACATTAGAACATGGAGATACATTTCCTAATTATATCTCTTCAAAAAGTGACATCGATATGTGACGTTAAATCTAATCCATACTAATATTATAGAGACAGTTTATTTGTTTGTTTGAACGCACTAATCTCAGGAACCACTAATCCGATTTGATCAAATTCTTTTATCATTAGATAGTCCGTTTATTAAGGAAGGCTATAATAGGCCATAGGTATGTCATATCATATATAGTCTATCTATTCCATACTCACCGTAAAAATATAGGTACCAAGTAGTCAAAGAATAAAGATAAAAAATCTAAAGTTCTAATTGTCTAAACACAAATTCGAACTTACGCAGACCGCATAAAGTACTTTTTTAAACGAAACAACGTACGTTTTTATTTTGTCAAAGTCATTGCTTTTCGGATGACAAAATTAAAACCACGGTAATGTAATGTAATATTACCGTGTTAAAACGCAAGTTGTTTGACAAAAGATATTTGAATATAGCGCTATTTAATTTCGAATGGTGCACTTCTTATAAGGACTTAATTGTGTACCTTGAGTTTTTGTATATACCTAAATGGTTTTTATAAACAATATTCTAAGTTGTTCTTTAAAAAAAAAATTCTCTTATTTTCCAGTACATAAAGTATAGGAGCGATCTGTTCCAGTAAACTTATGTATGTCAGAGATAATATCTAAAATGCCACAGAAAAATACATACAAGAAAAGTTAATTTAGTCAAATTTCTGAATACTCTTCGTTAGATAAAATAAAAATATGGCTCGATCCAGTCCCTTTTAACCTCGTAAGATGATATGATTGCTTGTTAGGATATACGAGAGTTGATATTATAAACATATATACATTTAAATCATTTTTGTTGTTATATTATTGCGTTATCGGAGACAATTTGCTCAAAAAATGCCGATATCCTTAAAATAACCCTTATAATAACAGCGTTAAGAATCATCAATCAGTAAGTTATTTCCTTATACGTGTATTTTCATTTCTGTAAAAACTCGTATATAGCTGTAAGGGTTGATTCTACGACCGATGTAAGTGGAGTGGGGCGATGAAACTGCGCAGAACGGTATTCTGGGACGACTTTTAACGTGATTAAACATGTGACATATGGAATTTAGGTTGTATTGGTTGGGGTTTTATTTTATTTTAAATGATATTAAATAAGTTACTAGTTTTATTGAATTGAATATTTTACTTCATTTAGTATAAAAATCTGAGTAACTATACTTTGAAATGGAAGAGTTTTAAAAATGTTCGTTCATGTTATGTTTTTCTTTCAATCCTTATGTATTTGTAATAAAATTTTAATTAATCATAAAAAATATATTATTAGTACTTCTTATTAGAAGTGCCTACTAAGAATATCTTCTTCCTACCCATAAAATTTTAGCGATAACGATACGAATGATAGAATGCCAAATCGTTGAAGCACCAAGATGTTTTGTCTCTATACGAGATACGGAATGACAATAAGAAACAAAGTAACACGGATGCTATTATCTATCGATTGAATGGAAGCATTAGAGCGTGTCTATTTGTGAATTATTCAATTTACCCGAGTAACCTTCTTTTGTATACTATAAAGTTTCTAAATGGTCTAGTGGCCGTATAATATGAGATTCTAGGTTTGAATCGCAGTCCAATGGGACGAGTCATTCAAAGAATTTCTTAGTAGCAATTCGGAATGGTCAGAGTTCCTGTATCTATATCCCTGTGCCATAAAGAACGCCGACGTAGTCTTCGTTCCTACGCTTTACCACTTCAACTAAGTGTCGGCTTTGAATTAAAGACAACTTCCGTTATTTGAATTATTTCTATAAATCATTTAAAAAATGGCAACTATGGGATATATTTATTTGAATTAAAAAATCATATATTTGTGTAATTTTGGCCATTATTACTAAGGCTCATCGTTACGATCATTCTATTTTCTTTAGAAAAATAATATAATACCTATTTCATGATGTCTCGTGCTCGTTTGTTCAAAGGATTCAGAGTAGCGAAAAAGGAAAATCTTACAGATCATTTGATATTTAATTTATTGTTCCACGTACATTTTATGGAATTCGATAGAGATAAATAAGCTTTCAGGTATCGAGACCTTTAAAGGTTTTTTTTATTTAACAAAGCTCTCAAAGTTTTAGATCGATTTGGGACCATTTTTAGTCTTACCTTCGTTCGCGTATTAGATAGAGTAACAGCTCAATCTGGTGGTTCGATTTGATTGACTTGCACTGATCCCGCCGACGCAAATGAAATTTCAGATTTTAAACGGCTTCGCCATGGATCATGTAATGGCACTTTTTTTAGGTTTGTTAGTTATTTAAGGCATAAGTCGAGATGTC